ATCCCCTCTACAGAGGATCAAAATTGTGATGGCATGTCTGGATCATCCTCAGGGATGCTTCCCAGACCGTCGCCAATAGCCCATTGTGCAGCTCTAGTACGACGTAAGTGAACTACAACAACAACAATCAATGCATACGAAACGCAAATAATTTTAGATTTTGTCGTCCGAGGGGTACTGTCCTTCAACCAAAAGATTTGTAGATTTGCAGAAGAATCCTTTTCGTTGCGTATCGAATATTCTCTATTTTTGATATGTTGTAATTTTTTTTTTAGGTTTTCAGAAAAACATTAATAATTATTAACATTACCATCAGTCTTAAGTTCATTTCGCACATAAATCTGCAGCTTGTATGGAAAATTCCGCTTTTTGCACGAAGCACAAAAAGCCTTAAGATTTTCACGTGTTCTTTATGAATAAGGAAACTTAAAATGATGCTATTCAAATGTACTTGGCATTTCTCATCCTATCCGATGTTAACCAATGAATATAGTTAACAGTAGGTGCAGTTGAAAAGCAGCACGACTGGTGCGTACGCAATATTTTTAACTCTTGAGTGTAATCCGATTCTTAATAACCTTTCGGACACGTTCAAGTGTTTACAAATGATTGTGTGATGAAACATTTTAGAGCCAAAAACTCTCATTTCTTTCTAGAAAACACCAACCAGTCGATATGGTGGGGTAGAGTTTTGCCTCCGATGCCATGGGGCTGGGTTCGATTCCCGGTGTTAAAAGCTAAGTTCTGATCACATTGCGATTTCTTCTACCATGTCTTCCGGCGTGCATCAATATTGTCTTCAGATCATAAGTACGGTTGAATCTCAAGCCAATAGTGTAGCGATAGTGCGATTTGTTTCATATTTCTGTTACACATATGCAGGTTTGTGTTTTGTCATTTGAAGAACAGATAATACAAGTTAGGGAAGGACGTCTCAATAAGGATACATATAGGATTACAGTGAAAATTGAACCCGATATCTCCATCAGGTTATAGCGCATTTAGTGAAACAGTGAGACCGCTCGACCAGCGAGGTCACATGACCAAACAAAAACCAACCTTTCTCGAAAAGTAATTTTAGCACTTTATTTACGTCGAACTAGAGCTTCATAATTGGCTATTGGAAACGATCTGGAAAACATCCCTGAAGATGATCCGAAAGCATGCCATCACAATTTTGATACTCTGTAGAGAAGGTGACACCACCGCTTTGGTAGCCCAACGACCTGAACGCGAAGTCGAGCACTTTAAGTTAGAACAATTTAATGAGGATCGATACCGCACACACTCGGTCCTATCGCACGCTGATCAAATTGCTCTCCCACCTACTGACAGACCGCTCCCAGTGATGTTTGACTTAGGTGTTCTACCGAGAACCGTGCCTTAACGATAAGTCCACTGCGGAACCTAATTTGAATACATTCAATATACAGTCATTAGGATTATACTCCGAAAAACGTAGCCAATGTAACCTTTTTTTTAACCGTTTAAGCGGATTAACATATTAATTTATTATATACGGCATAAAAATACATATTTTTAACAATCGGAGCACTACTTGTTTTTTAGAAGTCAGCACTCTTTTATTTGCCTATTTCCGAACATTGAGGACTGTTAGTTTTGAAAGCAAGCCTTAGTGTGCTTCTGTTATTTTTATCTGTGTGGAATCTGAATCATAAGTTTTATATGTGATTCAATCAAAGAGTTTGTATATAAAAAAGTTATAATTCGCAAAAATTCCGAATGGAAGAAGAAAAAGGTAGGGATTTTTTAAAAATTTGTTTATTTTTACTCTTTACACTCTATTTAATGAAAAGTTTGATTTCCTGAAGTGTGATTTTTGTTATCATCTTGTATTTAAAAACAATCCTTCAAGATCACAAAACACAACAATGTCTTTGATTTCAGATGCGTGGCATAATCATTCTTTTCTGCAGTTTAGAACATTAAAATGAGCTATAAATACGTTATGTTCAAATCAAATGTATTGGGACTGTATAATTAATCATGAAATCACGTTGAACTAATTATAAAATTCTTCATATAATCTGAATAGTTTTCGGGCTTGTTGAGAAATATTAAAAAAAAGAAGCTTAATACGAAATCTATTAAAATTGTATATTGTCTTAGAATAAAAGACGATTTAGTCTGAACTTAGGATGCTATAAGTAATGAGTTTGTAAGCTAATAAGTTCGCTAGAAAAACAAAACAAAAACATTATTGAAATCTGACGAATCACTATCGAGAAAGGCGTTATTAAAATCAGCCAGATTTCTGGACGGAACTTGGATTTTTTTCCTCCATGATATGGAACAGGCTTTTACCAACGCTTTCCTTTTGAACATTTTTTTTACATTTTGAAAAACTTTTTTCTTTTTCTTTCGCTTAAGTATAAGTTTCTCTCCCCCCTCTAATGCGCATACTTTTTGTTTTCATTTTTAGAAAAAATGGGTATGAAGGACGGTTATTAGAAACATCATGTATATAAAATTTACTTTGATGCTTCGAACTAATATGGATATTCATAAAAAGCTACCGCCGTTATATTGAAATTATGGTTTCACGTGGTGCATTCAAAAACTGAAAAACTTGGTATGACAATGATTTCATGAGGAACTTAAAAAACAATTTTGTTTACAATATTATGAACTGGTTAAGTATAAACGTATATATGAATCTGAATCTATTTTAACGTAAATTTTTGCTATATAAAAACGGTATTTAAAATGCAGATTATTTCTTGATCAAATCATAATTTTGGCACAAATTTGAAAGTTATTTTATGTGTTTTGTTGGATATATAGTAATCACAGCATCCTGTTTTTTCGTGTGTTATTATGTATGTAATTTAGTTATGTATATATGCATGTATATATACTATGTAGAAGTATTCGGTCTGTCTCAGATATTATAAAAAGAATCTTAACACGTAAGTCATTTATTTCTTACTTGACAATTATGTTAACAAAAGTACATTATATTGAGTTTCCTTTATCATTCCTCAATTAAAACGAACTGCTTTACGTGTAACGTATATATTCATTTTAATTAAATTACTTGACAGTAGGTATTAAAGTATTCCCCAAAGAATCTTACAAATGAATTAAAATGGCTTTCTCGGGATAAAAGATTAAGGATTTCTACTTTAAACTAACTTTATTAATACTGTATATTTTGAAAATTGTTTAATTTCAAAATAATTTTTTATAAATTCAGTCATTGAATTGATATAACAGTGCTTCAGGAGGACAAAACTTTTAATCATTTAACTTTATAATTTAAGGATTAAAATTAATACAATTTATTCACCATTTGTTTTTATTTATTTAATATATTACATGATATGAATATTTGTGTTTTACATTACTTCGCAAGATTTAAAGTCACATATTCATTTTGTATTTAGTTTTACTATTTAATAAAATATTTTCTTCAATCTAATTTTGTAACATTAATTTTAAACAATTAGCTATGATAGTTTTGTTAAAAGCTTTTTAACGTTATTATTATTAAAATGAATCACGCATATTTTTGTTTCTATTGTAATTATTTTTCTTGTTTACCTTCAGTAAATGTCCAATCAAGAAAAGCAATCGCAATTTTATTTTTAATANCTGAATAAAGAATTAAGTTCATCGAAGCACTCTTGTCTTGACAATCCACGTCGAAAGTTATGAAAAATAATGGCACGAAAATGTTCACGATTCAATTCCATTTTTTGAAAGAGAAGAACTTTTCAATTTACTGTCAACAACACAAATGAAGCTATAATGGTAAATCGCCAGCTGAATTTATGTTTAAAAATATCAAACTTTCGATTAAAATCGTCTGCGGTCGTCTAGCAACACTTACAGTTGCCAAGGCCAGAAATATAAATAGCAACCCTCGTATAAGTAAGAAAACTTAAAATGATGCTATTAAAATGGACTTGGTATTTCCTATCCTATACGATGTTAACCAATGAATATAGTTAACAGTAAGTGCCGTTGAAATGCAGCACGACTGGTGCGCACGAAATATTTTTAACTTTTGAGTGTAATCCGATTTTTAATAACCTTTTGGACACGCTCAAGTGTTTACAAATGAATGTGTGATAAAACATTTTAGAGCCTAAAATTCGCATTTCTTTCTAGAAAACACCAACCAGGCGGTATGGTGGGTAGAGTTTTATCTCTGATGACATGGGACTGGGTTCGATTCCCGATGTTAAAAGCTAAGTTCTGATCAGATTGCTCTTTTTTCTACCATGTCTTCAGGCATGCATCAATATTGTCTTCAGATCATAAGTGCGGATGAAACTCAAGCCACACCTAGTAGTTCAATAGTGCGATTTGTTTTATATTTCTGTTACACATACGAAGGTTTGTGTGCTGTGCTCATTACAAAGTACGACATATAAGCCGTTGTCATTTGAAGAACAGATAATACAATTTAGGGATAGATGTCTCAATAAGAATACATATAGGCATACGGCGAAAATTTAACCCGATACCTCCATCAGGTTATAGCGCATTTAGTGAAACGGTGAGACCGCTCGACCAGGGAGGTCACATGACGTTAAGAACCAAACCAAGACCAACCTTTCTTGAAAAGTAGTTGTAGCACTTTATTTACGCCGCACTAGAGCTGCATAATTGGCTAATGGAAACGGTCTGGTTGTTGTTGTAGTTCCTTTACGTCGCACTAGAGCTGCACAATGGACTATTGGCGACGGTCTGGAAAACATCCCTGAAGATGATCTGAAAGCATGCCATCACAATTTTGATCCTCTGTAGAGAAGGTGGCTCCACTGATTGGTAGGCCGACGACCTGAACGCGAAGTCGAGCACTTTACGGTAGCACAGTTTAATGAGGATCGATACCGCACACCTCCGGTCCTATCGCAGGCTGATCAAATTGGTCTCCCACCCACTAACTGACCACTCCCAGTGATGTTTGACTTAGGTGTTCTACCGAGAACCGTGTCTTAACGATCAGTCCACTGGGGAAGCTTTTTTTTGAAAACATTCCATGTAGAGTCATTGGGATTATACTCCAAGAATCGTAGCCAATGAAACCTTTTTTTAACTGCTTAAATGGATTGAAATTTTAATTTATTTCATACGGAATAAGGATATATATTTTTTAACAATCGAAGTATATTCTACTTGTTTTAGAAGTGAACACTCTTTTATTGCCTATTTCCGAACATTGAGGACTGTTAGTTTTAAAAGCAAGCCTTAGTGTGCTTCTGTTATTTTTATCTGTGTGGAATCTAAATCATAAGTTTTATATGTGATTCAATCAAAGAGTTAGTATATAAAAAAGTTATAATTCGCAAAAATTCCGAATGAAAGAAGAAAAAGGTAAGGATTTTTTACAAATTTTGTTTATTTTTAACTCTTTACACTCTATTTAATGAAAAGTTTGATTTCCTGAAGTGTGATTTTTGTTATCATCTTTTATTTAAAAACAATCCTTCAAGATCACAAAACACAACAATGTCTTTAATTTCTGATGCGTGGCATAATCATTCTTTTCTGCAGTTTAGAACATTAAAATGAGTTATAAATACGTTATGTTCAAATCAAATGTATTGGGACTATATAATTAATAACTAATTATGAAATCACGCTGAATTAATTATAAAATTCTTCATATAATATGAATAGTTTTTGGGCTTATTGAGAAATATTAAAAAAAGAAGCTTAATATGAAATCTATTAAAATTGTATATTGTCTTAGAATAAAAAGCGATTTAGTCTGAACTTAGGATGCTATAAGTTATAAGTTTGTAAGCTAATAAGTTTGTTAGAAAAACAAAACAAAAACATTATTGAAATCTGAAAAATCACTATCGAGAAAGGCGTCATTAAAATCATTAAAAACAGCCAGATTTCTGGACGGAATTCGGATTTTTTCTCTCCATGATATCGAACAGGTTTTTATCGACGCTTTTCTTCTGAACATTTGTTATATTTTGAAAAATGTTTTTCTATATCTCTCGCTTAAGTATAAGTTCCCCACCCCCTCTAATACATTCTATTTTCACTTTTAGAAAAAATTCGTATAAGGAACAGTTATTCGAAACATGTATATAAAATTTACTTTAATGCTTCGAACTAATATGGATATTCATAAAAAGTTACCACCGTTATATTGAAATTATGGTTTCACGTGGTGCATTCAATAACTGAAAAACTTGGTATGACAATGATTTCATGTGGAACTTACAAAATAATTTTGTTTGCAATATTATGAACCGGTTAAGTATATACTATACGTATATGTCATTTATATTAATGTAATTTTTTGTTATATCAAAACGGTATTTAAAATGCAGAATATTTCTTGATCAAATCATAATTTTGGCACAAATTTTAAAGTTATTTTATGTGTTCTGCTAGATCTATAGCAATCACAGCATCCTGTTTTTTCGTGTGTTATTATGTATGTAATTTAGTTATGCATATGTGCATGTATATATACTATGTAGAAGTATTCGGTCTGTCTCAGATATTATAAAAAGAATCTTAACACGTAAGTCATTTATTTCTTACTTGACAATTATGTTAACAAAAGTACATTATATTGAGTTTCCTTTATCATTCCTCAATTAAAACGAACTGCTTTACGTGTAACGTATATATTCATTTTAATTAAATTACTTGACAGTAGGTATTAAAGTATTCCCCAAAGAATCTTACAAATGAATTAAAATGGCTTTCTCGGGATAAAAGATTAAGGATTTCTACTTTAAACTAACTTTATTAATACTGTATATTTTGAAAATTGTTTAATTTCAAAATAATTTTTTATAAATTCAGTCATTGAATTGATATAACAGTGCTTCAGGAGGACAAAACTTTTAATCATTTAACTTTATAATTTAAGGATTAAAATTAATACAATTTATTCACCATTTGTTTTTATTTATTTAATATATTACATGATATGAATATTTGTGTTTTACATTACTTCGCAAGATTTAAAGTCACATATTCATTTTGTATTTAGTTTTACTATTTAATAAAATATTTTCTTCAATCTAATTTTGTAACATTAATTTTAAACAATTAGCTATGATAGTTTTGTTAAAAGCTTTTTAACGTTATTATTATTAAAATGAATCACGCATATTTTTGTTTCTATTGTAATTATTTTTCTTGTTTACCTTCAGTAAATGTCCAATCAAGAAAAGCAATCGCAATTTTATTTTTAATACCAATGTTACATAAATGCGAATTCTGTAAATGAATTCACGTTTATTTGATTTATTCCAAATGAAAAGTAATAAATATCTATAGCGAATGGGTGAAACGATAAGCATAGAAGGTAACACATGGTAACAAAATGGAATAAAGTATCAACTAAAATAAAAAAGATCAATATTTTCCAATCGAAATTGTTTATTTGGTATCGTTTTCAAGCGAAGCTTCAACTACGGAAGAAAAGTTTGAATAAATGCTTCGAGTTACGAAATTTTTCCACATTTATTTCAATTTTTCTTTGATAAAACGATGTTTTTTTTATTTTATCGTTTGGAGTAGATTGTAAGGAAAAAATATTTTTTTGAGTAAAAGGGATAATTGTTTAGAAATTTAAACCCTTTGAAACAAGATTCGATTGTTTTATTAAAATCGCTTGCCATGAGTTTTCCTATTCCGGTTTAAATTATTATTTCGATATTAATCGTTCAAAAAAAAAAAAGATTTAAAAAAAAATACAAACTTTTTATTATTATAATTTTACATTCGACTTATTTCTTACTAAATGATATCTATCTATATTAAAAATATTGTGGTGTATAGGTTAGATTATTAAAATACTAATCATTTTTAACACTTTATTTAATTTAATAAAAATTTTCTGATGACTATATAATATTTATACAAAATATTTTTCAATGTGAAATTTAACTGTTAAGAAAAGTTTTTTTTCATGAGAAATTTTTTTTCATCACCTTATGATTAGAACTATTGTTAATGATACGTACTGATGAACGATATCCCGGGTTTATCTTGTGAAATTTTAATAAACGGTCGGTTTGGTGGTAAAAAAAAAACTATTATAAGTCTTTGGTGTTATGATCAAAACTTGGATTTTGGAATTTTTCTTAAACTTTTGCAAGGAATTTATCAAAAATATGAACAAAAATGTTTGTAAAAGTATTATCAACATAATGCTGCCTTTTACAATCAAAGTGTTAGTGATAACTTGTTTAGAGCTATGAGCGTTTTATTTCGAAAAATTTTCTAAGTAAGCTAATTCATTAGCTAAATCCACACACATATTCTCCCTCTGCACGCAGTTAAAAATAAATAATTTAAAAGCAACTTCTTTTTAACAGTATTTACATAACTTTTTGTGATTTCCAGTTTTTATTTTTGATGATTTTGGCCGACTCTGCGTTGATGAGAAAAGCACCCAGATTTTAAATTCTGTCTTTACATTCTTATGAATGATTTCGACCTGTAGTTGATAATTTTTGGGGGGTAAAAAAGTGATAATCCACTAAAACAATTTCACTTCTTCTTATATAAATAAAAGATTGATTTTAAAATTAAAAATCTCGGAAACAAAGAATGATATAGGAATGAAACAAATGGTGTGTTTATTGTGACAACAATAAACATTTCGAACAATCTTTTTAAAATTTAGTTACAAAACTTGGCAGCAGATGGCGTTGTAAAGCGTGATTGAAAATATTACAAAATAGCACGAGTTAATTGATGATTTGCACTTTGTATATATATCTACAGAAACTTAAGTTAACCATTTCAAAATGTATGAATGTTCTTAGTTAATATAATAAATATAATTATATTTTAATTTTTAAAAATCTGTCAATTGTATTAAATTTTATAATATTGAATTTCTAATCGCTACCGATCTGTTAAACTTAGTTCGAATGCATCTAAGTCTTCCTCTCGGTACTGTTTGTATCTTTGATTAACAAACTAGATTTATTTTTTAAGATTGGTATATATTAAAGTACTGATTCTTATTTCATAGAGTTGCGTAAAAATAACTTTACTGACTTTTTTGTCTCGTATCATACTATAATTTTAAGTTGTGTTGTTACCGAACATCAAAACTGGAGTCATCTACATAACACCGAATGGTGCAAAATAACGGCATTGATTTTTCATTACATAAGGAACTGTCTCTGGTTCTTGGTGTAGTCAAACACCAAGAATTATTTGCGGTGTTTCACTTCACCATTTTGGTGTAAAGTATTAGGGGGACCGGAAAAAAATGCCGTTTCGGTGCATTAAATATTCGTTAGTCTTAAAAACCAATTCATTTTTTTTGGATCTATTTCGATCCGCCATTGAAAGGTTGTTGCTAACGAGGGGGAATACATTATTGATTAAAAATAAAATCTTGATAACAAATATCAAATGCACCCCAAATGACATTACTTTCCTGTCCCCCAAATAGATGCACTTTGTCTTGTTAAAATACACAAAAATTTTTTTTCCGTATAGATACATTTTGTAATAATGAACTTTTATTTCTGTTGATGTGTAGCATCGTGCAAGAAAGCAATAAATTTACGCAATTTCGTATTCGATTGTAAACAGTCTACAAACGATATCCAAAGTACACCAAAACGGACGTTTTTGGTAACAAGTATAATTGACTAACGTTGAGAATGCTTTTATGTTTGGTGTAAGCATTCTCAATTATTGGCGTTTATATTTAATTACACTCTGTAAAGTGCATATGAACGTTCAATTTGATTTTAACTTAAAATAATGCATTCTGTCTCAAAATTTTTGGGTTGTTCAACAACGAATTCGGAAAAATATTACAACCACTTTTTACAGGGAATGGAGTCAGACTAGTGGTCGAAACTTTGAGCCATTTTTTTTATTTTTTTAATTTTTTATATTGCTTTTTTCGATATGCATCTGAAACTAACAGTACGCATATTTTTTGCAACAAAATATTTGAAACTGATAACAATAATAATAATAAAAAAAATGAATAAAAAAAACTTAGAATTTACGCAAATTTTTTCTCGTCTAATACTTATTTATTGAGATTTAATTTTACAATAATAATGATAAAAAAATATTAGATTGTACAGTTTAAATTTTTCAAAAACTCGGATATACTAATTAAGTAGATGAATTGTATAATTCTATTAAGTCAGAAAAAAAAGTTTTATTTTGAAGAAACTATTTAATCTTTCAAATTGAGATTTCATTCAGTTTGCAAGTGAGTAAATTAAAATATGACTGATTGTTTTAATGTTTATAACATTATAATTTGCTAATAATAGTTAGCGTTTTCATATCTATTTATTATGATACAGAGTTTACGCAAACCTTTATTTCACTCAACTTTTCATTTCATTGATTACTTATAATCTCAGTATACAAGAAAAAAAAAGACAAAATTTTCCACTTAAAAATACATAGATGTATAAAAATACACGTGAATTATGAAGTGAAAGAAAAATACAACTATATTAGTTTTTATAATTAATTTATTTGTAGTTATATTTTTTTTTACAAAATTCTATATCAACAATATTTAACTGGTTTAGCGTTTATAAATTTAAAAATCTATTCGCTACAGTTTTAAAATAGTGCTAACTTTAGTGCTTGTGTGCATATTTCCAAGACGGATAGAATGCCTTACTAATAAAACTCTGTATTTTGAGCAGAAGTTTACTTCTGATAGTCGTAGTTATTTTGAAATGATAATTTAAGAAATATAACAATAATTTACTATGAATGCACTTGAAAGTTAAATAACTTTAGTAATTTCATCTATCTTCAACAAATGCAAGTTTTTGTAAATTCATTTTATAATTTAAAGATGTGTGACATTATTAGCGTGTTTATTAAACTTCTACAAGAATCGTTAAAAATTAAATTTTTTATTAGCCGTACGGAGAATTAACATAACTTTGTTAAAATATTAAATGTTTAAGTTTTTAACTCTTTGACGCAGAACTTTTATTAAACATATTTTTTCTACGTTTTTTATTATTTTGTACTAATTTAGGTCAAAATAAGTGAAAATACTATATTTAGCATTTTAATAATTTATGGTTATGAAATATACCATGAAACACCAGTGTATTTCCAAACAATCAGTTTTCAAATTTCTCTCAGTTAAATCTACGAGAAAGAGTTATTCGTCATTGAAATTTCTTTAACTTATAAAATAAATTATTGATAAATTCTTCAATATGAATGAAAAAAAAATTCCAATTTGTCTTGGACTTTATATTTTAGTACAAACATAATTCCGATATTCTAACAGATTTGTTTAGTAACTATTTGACTATTTTACGATTAAAAAATACCGAAATATATTTTTACTTGTAGTTTAAGCGTCAGAAAACAATATATAAAAGGGTCACTGGTGTTCCATCTGCATCAAAAGGGTAAAAAATTTTGAAATTTGCTTAAACTCGAACGGATCCCAGATAGCAAGTCACCATACGGCAAACGTTGTATTTTCATTTGGTTAGCCAAAAAAGATTGAAAAATTAAGTTTCCCTTAAACTTTATAATTATACCAGGCTTGTTTCCTTAAAGATTGAATAAAGGCTTGCAAAAATCTTTATAAAAAATTCTAATTTTTTAGTTTTTATTGTAAACCTTGCTTTCTAGATTTGTCCAGGCTCTCTAATCTTAACATTTTGATTTTGTTAAAAATTTAGTGATCAAGCCAACTTTACTTTTAAAGTGTTAAAGAAAATGTATAAAAGCCTGCACAAATGAACGTCGTTTCACAGTAATCGTTATAAAATCTAAAGTGAAAAGGTAAATTTTTTCTTGGTTTGGGAACGCTTTCTACTCTTAATTTGAGAATGATTCCTCCTCGATTTCAGATGGTTTTTCTAGCCTCATTTTGTAATTTCGGATTTAATCTCGGTATAACAAGGTTGTTTATTAAATCTTAATTCGAACCTCATTGCGTGTTAACTAGTATAGTTACATTTAACATTGTTTCAAGCTTGCACGGTTTATTTGCTAATCATAACTTGTTGGGCTTTGTGATAAACCTTATTGCTGACGTTAAAATCAACCTTGCACTTGCTATCTGGGATCAGATTATAAAATTATTTTATAAATTTGTATTTTCAAATTTTTTAAATGCATATTTTTTAGATAATTTTTTTTATTCTTGTAATATATTTTGTAAATTTTTAAATAAATATTACAAAATTTATGCTAATATAAGAAAATTAATTTCTTATGTTTCTAGATTCACGAAATGTTTACACATATTATTAGCAGAAACAATGTTTTCTTATTTAAAAACGTTTGATTAAAAAAATTTTTTTTTTCGAAGTAAAAAGATGTGTCGATATTGTTTTTCAATTTTATAAATATAATATTCAATGAATATTGTTTATTTGGCATACATAAAATACACACACAAAACGTAAATGTTTGTAGCAATATTTTCAACCATATATTTCTATAAAACAACTAAATACAATTGCAGAATGCAAATATTAAGTAGGGAGCAGATATTTAAAAACTTAGTTTTTTAAAAATTGCTACAAAAAATATGCAATGACAAAATTTTTCATTTTAGAAATTCAAGTTACATAATCTTTGAAAGATCTCATTATTTTTCCCTTTTCATTTGTAACTCATGGTTAAAGTGATAAATTTGATTTATATTAAAATCATTCATCATTTTATAATTAAATCACATTAATCACATTGTTCAATTATTGTTAATTATTAATAATAAACGGTAGTTTTAATCCATTGATAACAGCCAGTAATTTTTTAAATCAAAGTTAATCATAAATAGTAACAGGGAGTTATTAATAATATCTCCCATGGATATTACTCTTTACTAAATTTCTTCGTTAATTATTAATAATGACCTTCGTTAATTATTATTAATGACTAATAATGATTAAGTTTATTTCTCTATTCTGTTTCAAAGAATGTTTCTAATGAAACCGAGTAAAAAGTGTTCAATAAGTCATGTTTTAGAGTTTTTTTTCCTTCAAAGTTATGCCTCGTTTAGAACTTGCTGATAAAGAATAAACTTTTAATTAGCTAGGTTTCTTAAATAACATATTTAAATGCCTGGTGAATTTAAAAATATCTGACAAATAAGTGAACTCCATTGTTTGGATTTCATGCACTTGAGCAAGCCATAATTAAGAGAAAATTATCATTGCCATTGCTACAGTTTACATGCATTTTTTTTAAATATAAAATTCGTACATTATATAATACTCTCTACAATAAACTATCATCTTCATGAACAAAAAACAAGTTATACTCTTGTTGCAATATCCAACATTCTCTATCCGAATAATTCATTTGATATAAATATAAAAATCAATTCAGTAAAACGCCGCATTTGGTTCTTTCATCAGTTTTCTATTTGACTACAATTGAACAGTTCAAATGCTCGTCTTTATATAAAAACAGTTGAAATTCAACTTTACTTTACTCTACAATATTTAACAATCATGCTCCACTTAAATTGGAATGAGTTGTGTATCCTTTTTTTCAAAATAAATATTTTCATACATTCAATAAATATTCTTCTTTAAGTACATTTTGTTTCACTTACACTTTAATAGGGATGTCCAGTATATTACGAAAGATATGTATTGTAAAAAGCGCACTTCGATTGTTTTTCAGTTTTATATTTTCAACTAGAATAGTTTTTTTTTCATTATTTGGACGTAGATTACGAACGGGAGTGAACTACTTGCCGTTTGAGAAATTCCCGCTGTGACAGGGAATATGAAATTCAAATTTGTTTTCAATTTTCTAATGTATTTGAAAATAACTACTTCCCAAGCATATCAATTTTTAGGATATCAATCTGCATATCAATTTTTAGGATTCTTTTAAAATTCAATTCCATTTTTTATGCATTTTTTAAAATTTTAAGTCCCTTTTTAGTTTAAATCACGGATTAAAATGTATGATACATAAGAAAAAAAAATGTAATGGTAAAAACACGAAGTCTGGTGAATCCAAGCTTTTACCGGTAAAAACCAAACTTTTACAAAAGAGGCTTGGTAAAAGTTCTAAGTATGCTGTAATATGATTCTAATCCAGTTTTTTTACCAAAGCACTTTCGTGAATTCCAGGTTTTATTGATAAAACCTAGGGTTTACCAAACTTTAGGTGTTTTGGAGTAACATGTGGGTAATACCATCGAAATTGATCAAGCCAATAATTTTGAAAACCGAGATAATGTTTCGAAGTCAATTGATTGCCAGTAACCATTTAGGAAAAAAAAGCCCACGTCATCGTAAATAGCTTTTATCAGTATTCCTAAGCAATATATTAATTTGGGTCTCTTTTCTCAAAACATATAGACAAATAAATGATTTTAGAACATTATTTTTGTTTTGCTATTTATCAACCTGGTAATTTTCGGCAATATACGATATACATGATGCATACGTAATCCAGTATATGCGGTAATGGTATTTCATCAAGTTTCAATCTCATATAATCACTATCAGCTATGTTAGTACCGATAAATGTCCATAGATGTCGCCATTTTTGCGTATTAAAATCGGTAAATAGTAACTTACGGGCCCTTTTTAATAAGATCCTGTTTTGAGCTTGTATTGAGTTAGAAAGCCACTTTTTAATTATGTCATTATTTTTTATTTAGTCATGTAGTCTAAGTGCTTAAGTAATAAGGTCTCTTAGAATGAAAAAAAAGATGATTTTTTCCTAGTTTACATTTCCTAAAATTTTAATGAGTTGTTTAGATAGATTGGATTTTGGGTAAAATAAAATTTGAAATTCGATGCAATTAATTATTTTAATTTAAACAAATAAAATGCTTCGAGAGTTTCGTTTTGTTGATATTTTGTTTGTTCCATTGTCACAGTGGAAATTAATCAGTTGGTAGATGCTTGTTCACTAGTAGTGCTAAATGTAACAAGAAAATTCTACTGTAAGTTTATAAAATGTCTATGTAGCGTTTTCTATAAAAGGTTACACATTGCACAAGAAAACACCATTAACAGAAATGAAGTTCTAACAATGACGACGTCGTGCCATGATGATAAAAATAGGTATTTATTTCTACGTTTTGTGATCACTTTAATTGGTAGAAAGTTTCTAGAACTTCTAATTAAATGCACTTTCTATCTAATGTTAAAGTAAGAAAAGCTAAACTATTTCTAATCTACAATTGTTGATTTCAAATACAAAGTTTTTATTAAATCTGAAAAAAAAAGAAAAGATTTCATTGATATTTTAGTAATGATAAACGCAAGTTTAATTTAAATTTGTGGCAAATAACTGTTAAAGAAAACAGAATAAATGTGTTTAAGGTATCTTGCTACCTTAAAGAAAAAAAAAAAAATCAGTGAAAGTTATGAGCTTGAATTTTCTTTTTCAGAATTAGCAAATTTGGAAAAATGCACTTGAAACATTACGATTACAGAAACATGTTTTTATGGGGTTATGGTTACATCAAAGATTATGTGTTTGTGCCCCCTATGCAATATGATTTAACAGAATTACGAGGAAGGATCGAAGCTTCATTAGTCACCATGATGTAGTGAGTGTGGCAAGAGTTTGACTACAGGTTTGAAATCTGTCTGTGACCCAAGGGACATTGGTGAAAAAAAGAACTTGTGATATTTCTTTATCAAAGTAAAATTTGGTGTATTCGTAATATTTCGCACGTTATAAGCCTCCAAACCACGGAAGAAATTGTAACTCTGTATTTTAATTTGATAAATTTGCATTTTAAAGAGATGCATGCGTAAGCTCTTCAATTAATAGAACAATAATTTTCGAAACTAAACAATTTAAGTAATTAGCTTCATTTTCGATATAAAATAATTTTGACTAGATAATTCTAACTTAGATTTATTTCAAGACCCACCTACACAGAAAGCCACGCCTAAGTTTTTATGTAGGTCAAGTTTTAATTCTTTTTTTTCAAGTTTTATTCTTGCTTGTTACAATGCAACTCAAATAACTGTTATTATAAACTTTTAAATTTTTTTTGAGTATATGTCATATATTTGCTGGACCTTAAATAAACTAAAACCAATATCTAAGCGTTTCCTTTCAATATATGCATGGTCTTTTGTACGAGCATCTTATAATGCTTTTAAATGCATAAAACTTAGAATTATTGGTATTTTTTGGACTTCAACGGCCTTACTTATTAACCACTTCCATTTTAGATCTTAGTTTTCAATCTATTTGGTAGATAAAAGCTATAGGAAATTAATAACGTAAGAAAAATTTATGATAAGATATTTACTAGTGTGTCATTGCAAAAACTTACTGATACAATAATTTTTCATTTAAATGAACTATTTATGTTAAAATTATTAAGAAAAGAAGTTGCTGTTATAAAAAATATGACGTTAAAAATGTCGCAAGATACCTTAAGAAATTGAAAATGCATTGAACATATTGAATTTTAGTATTTAACACGTATATACATTAAATACAGAGACTAACTAGATAAATTACTTATCCTGAAGATATTAATTTAGGATTAAATTTTTTAATAAATATTTGTTTAAATTATAATCTTTTTTTTCCTTTTAACTTATTTAGGAGTTGTATTGTTGGCTAACATCAATTCAATGCAAAACACATCTAATTTAAAAATATACATGAGCATATTTATCATGGTTAAGCAAGCAAAGGCTGCGTAAAATACTTTGACATCCCCAATTATAATTTCTTTTTCTATGTACAGAAGAATATACAGTACATTCCGTAAGTCTTTGTAATATGAACAACACGCATAGGAAAAATAAATTCATCAGAAATCACAGAAAAATAACATGAAAGAAATATAATGTTTATATAAGAATGAATCGATAGATTATACAATACTTTCATATGCACTTTGATTCAAAAATTCGTTAGATATTGTAATGTGTTGTATGAATTCGAGGTAAATTTACTTAATTTTCCCTTAAAACAAAAAAATTGTTGTGACTTAAAAGTCTTAGTTTTTAAAAAAAGGGATTTGCTTAATATAGTTCATATAGTTTTCATATACAGTTTTAATATTATAAATTTAGGATTATTTTATTCATAGCTGGCGAATTAATACAAATGGTTAATTCCATTGTTGTTCGGACAAGTGGACGCTTTCTAATGACATCTGGACAAGCCAAGGTCGCCAGTAATTTTCTTTTTATGAATTAAGTCAAAAAAGTGCGCCTGACGTTTGACAAGAGAGCATGGCATGGGAGAAAGTACGACTTAGCTCAAAACTCCACTGATAGATGGCAGCACCACTCATTCGTGAGGCTACTTCCTCAATTTAGAAATCGATATAAAGCGAAGAAAATACTCTCCAGATTCATGTACCCATGGTACTGCTCAGTGACCGACCCCAGCACTTTCAGTTCCACAGATTTTACGAGCACGTGCACCTCCAGATCGAAGTCTGATTCTCTAACCATTGGGCTACCACGGTCCGGTTAACTATATGAAGATTCTAAAGTGCATATTAAAACTTTGGCAAATTAATATCAATGGAAAACTTTTAAAGTGTATTAAAATTATTTGTCCAAGTATGATTTTTATTTTAATTTTCAGTCGATGCAAAGGAAAAAAAAAGTTAATTTTTTCCATTTTATACTTAGTAGTTCTTTTTTTAAAAATCTAAAGTGAGAAACTTGTTATATGCGAAATGTTTATTAAAATATAACGATGGAAAAGAAATGTTTTCGATTTTTTGAACAATTTAAATATCTTTTTGGACTATTTGTTTCCTACTCAATTCGAATAATAAAAAACACAATTTTTATTGCTGAACTAGAGCTTTTAGGGATCTGCTCCATAAAACTTAGGGGATTGCGTAGAGTTTACAACAAATTCTATTACAAGGAAGAAAGGATGGTACAAAAGAATTTTTATGTCATTTTACATGATATGCAAATACCTAATTAGCAGACAGTTTTTTTTAGAGCGATCATAAAATTTTCGTTTGAAAGTTACCATTTAAACAAATTGAATTTAAAAGTTATTATTCGAACACATGTTGAATAAAAGAGCAAACCGTTAGAAATTTTGGAGTGTATTAAATCATAATATCGTTCAAATTTGCTACAACATTAAGGCTGCAGAAAATTGTACTGTACTGTACCATAGTACTATTTTATGGTTCAAGGTACGGGTATTATGACTCAAGACATTGATATTAGGGTTAAATGAACCAGAGTGTAATTTACGCTAATGCTAACAATTTTTTTGAATCATAGTGCAGTTTTTGTAATACATAAGATACTTTTCATACTTAATAATGATAAATGGAACGAAGAAATAATATGTGCGTATAACCGTATGAAAACAACGAAAGTACTTTTTCAAGGAAAAAAAATACGTATAAAAGTCATGTTAAATGGAATTATTTTATGCAATGAACAGTTTTTTTTTCAAGAAATTACTGAGACAATTTCAAGAAAATAAAAGTCAACTAAACTCGGTTAAGCCCATTGTTTTTTGCTGAAATTCAAGAACACTTGAGAGGTGAAATGCAAAAATAAGAAGTGAACATCTTCATGACGTTGCCACAAAAGCTTTCGAAGTTAAAAGAAAGACTAAAGCCAACTGAAAATTGGTCAATCTTCGCAAAACTGCGTGGAAATGGATTCATAAATGCATAGAAATCAAACAGAATTTCCTTGAAATAAATATAATTTTTGGCGCCAGTTGAAACTCAAAAGTGGATGAAAATTTTGTTCTTGACCATCATCGGTTACCGTCAATTTTCAACTGAGTGTCAGTGTTGTATTTTTTGTTGGAATGTACAAGTATTTTGTCATTTCGACTTCTCTCGACTTAATAAATATACATCGGCTTTCCTCAGGAAAGATATAGCTCTATTCAACAGTTCAACAAAAACTCTGCTATAGCAGCTTATGTTTTTAATCACGTGTCCGATGTAAAATCGGAGCAAATTCGACTGAGCAATATTTCACTATAAATAGAATTTATGGGACCCTCTACGTGATATCTGGGTTGACGACTGCCACCAGATCCTGTATTCCTTCTGGTTCTCCATCGTGGGAAATCATCATCTAATGACGGAACTTTAACAACCTGTAAAGTATGAAGGAGGTTAGATTAACGAAGAATTAAAACCACTGTAATATATGTGACTTAATTCAATAACAACTATAGTGAGCTACATTTTAAATTTTTTTATAGAATGTAACAATAATGAGCGAATAGCGAGTTTTTGCTTATTTTTTTAAAGTTAGCAATTAAAATTCTTTTCATAGGTAGCTCGTTGATCTTATTTAGAATTCTTTTATCATTCTAATACAATAGTCTTTTTTCCAAAATTGAGCAGGCGTTATATGTCATTAGAAAAATTTTGACTATTGCCACAAAGGTCAGTAAATCCTGCCAAGTTCATCAGCCTTGTAAGTTGACCACCTGCCTAAATCGTATACAAAAATCGAATTTTATTCATGTAGTAAAAGGTTGCAAAATCTTCGTAGCCAGAGCAGGTCTTCCTACCCGGGAGTGTTTTTGAACTATATTGTAAACCCCTGATCAGAAAAAATATTTATCTGGGAATTTTCTATGCCATTATGTTTTTCATTAGAATTTCGCTGAAATGGTAAAAAAGTAGCATATATTAATTTAATAATAATTGCATATAGTTTTGTGTAATGATATTTTCATATATTTTTAAAATATACTTTATTATAGCACGAAGGAAAAAAAATCTGGTTCCTTACAGTATGGTAATGTAAATGATATTTGACATTTCCAGTAAAAGGACCATAATTCTGGTTAATAGAACCAAAAAATACGGCATTTAAATCATTCATTTGGTAATTTCTAAGATCAAATGGTATAGGTTTACCGAAAATTCCAACTTATTATTTATTTGTATATTAAGAAACACTTATTATTAAACATGTTTAATTGCTTAATTTTAACTATATTTTCTTACCCTGTGAAAATGGCAAGCGCATTTTCCTTGTAGAAAATCTTTATATCTTGGCACGGTTATATTAAAAGTATCGATTATATCGAAGTTATAATGTTTTGCGAAGTCTGCTAAACCCATACTGTGAAGTAAAAGTTTCCTTTGTTCATCCTGAAAAGAAAAACCAAGTTTATTATTGAAAAAACAAACATTTTGTATAGTAGTTTGTCATTTTACTAAAATAAAAGTGTTTCATTAAATTAAGCACAGACTTGCAAAGCTCATAGGCAATGTTAGGGATATTAGTTCACCGCATATGCTATATCAAAGGGACCTTAACTTTATATTTTATAACGTATTGCATTAGAAAAATTTGCAACCCAAAAATTTTTTAATATTTTATGTTGTAATAAACATTTCATTAATATTGTAATAAGTATTCCAAGTGTCTGGTCTTTTCCATGGATGTATTCCACTTTTAAAGAACTAGAAAACTAGAAACGGGTGGTTGTGCCAATAGAAATTTTTTTTCAGGCTACCAGCATTTTTCGATTTCTTGGAGTCTTGTTTAAGGTTATTTTTAAAATCGATTGCACAGTTTACAATTTCATTGATACTTACCATGGATAAGGTGTGGACGCCCTCTACTGGTAGATGAAAACCTGCACCAAGCGTTTTCATCACTAATTTTATACCTTGCAAACGCTCTCTGAAAAAAATAATCAAGGCTTAAAATGCATAACATATTGCAGTTTCTAGAAATCCAAATAAAACTTGATTACAATTTTTTTACATACAGTACTTGAAGTCTTTTTATAACAATTCAGAAAAAAAGTTTGAATTCTATTCTAAGTCCCGAAATTGAGGCAAGAAATAATTTTGATAGAAAAGGCTAGTTTTTTTTTAAAATTTCAAATTCTTTGTTTTTTTAATCAAAAATACAGAGTTTGATACAGATTGTCGTTTTGTTTGGAAATCGGTAATGAGGGAGTGGTTTTCTTTGTAGCATTACAAAATAGCTTTGTGGTAACTTACCTTAAGCGAAATTTTCAATAACCGCTTAGCACAAATGAGGTTGAACATCATTGATACGGCCCTCCATTTCATCATTCAAAAGCGTGGGTGGTCATAGATTTGTAGAATTCAAAAACTCTAAAAGAAATAGTCCTACAGCGTAAAAATCGCATAACCTGGTTAGCCAATTTCGAGCACGAATTCAGCAATTTTGACTCAAACACGATCAAAACTTTGCCTTCTATTTTTATTTATCTTTAACAATGAGATGTGATAATTCGTTAAGGATAAAATTAAAAAGAACGCCAATATCATTTGACGCCAATAATTATTAATTTTGGTTACATTTATTAATGGAGTAATTTAGTGCTATGTACTAAAAGGCAAACTGAATGGGGAAAATGATACTAATTCCTCAATGAGAGCGCAAAAGATTAGCAAACTATTATTGACGTTAATGATGCTTAAATCATTTTGATAATAGGTACTAATTGAAAAAAAATTAAGCTACGTACTAAAACGCGAAATTAATGGAGAAAATGTACTTATTCGTAATGAGGAACCGTAAAAAGTCGACATACATGAATGATGCTTTATTTTTTCATTTTGATAATAGACACGACTGGCATTATGGTTATTGGCGAAGCTTTAATGGCTACGAAATATACTCTTATATAGGTACAAAGTATTTTATGAGTAAATTTGGTGCCTTTACAGCTGCACCAATACTGTACATTTTCATGATAGGTTTTTTACGGTCCTATCGAAGATAAAGGCACAGGAGAAAGTAGCTTGATTGTCGAAAATTTTAAAGATCACGAGTTGCCACAAGCAGCAGCATTATGCCAGAGGATACTGAATACAGTTAATCTTTATTTTGATGGGATGAGCAACTACATACGTGTTTTGCTTAATCTAATAACGTAAAGTCATCGGGAAGGGTGACATGTAATGAAAAACATTGGAATCATTTTAGCTTTTTTATTTGTGTCGATATTTATCTTATAGTTTTGGGAATTATTTTGCCCATGTTCAGTACTAATTTGTTGATTCCTTTTTTATTCACCCTGTACAAATAACGGGTATTCAGTTAGTCAGTAAATGAAATAAATCTCGAATAAACTAACCAATCAAATCTTATTGGTGATCGCAATGGGCTACAGGTGGCACAGAGCAGAACTCTTTACCTACACTTACGCAACACTTCGCATGCTTTCATTCGTGTGGAGAGTCATAGGAGAAGTAAGCAAGTTAGTTTCTGTCTCGATTTTCAAATAGATTAAAAACTAAAGTTCGCAAACTATATAGAACTGAAAACTACATTTGATATAGTTCTAAAAGAAAACATCGCGGAAATTTTGAAAATATTTTGACAATTAAATACGAAAAATATTAAGCAAGGGAAAAATATCGTAGTACATTCGTATACAACTGAGAAGTGAAGAGAGGGTAGGGTGGAGGGTCAAGATATGGAAACGATTTTCTCCCCAGATTCGAGCGTTGCGATCGTGAATTGCGTTCCATATTTCAAAATGAAGTCTTTTTTTTAAGCACATAAAAATTTCAATGTTATCGAATTGCGAGTCATCATTTTGAAGTGATATAGCTAATGCTATTTGTAGAATGATCAAAAGCTCCCTTGTCAGAAAGTATCATCAGAAGCAGATTATCTGGAACAACGCTTGTGCGTTATCATCCCCTCTCTACAATCTCATCACCATACATATCTTCGTCGGAGAGATATAGAGGGCTGAATGGATAGGATTAGTACAGTGCTTTAATCAGCGGACGCTCTCTCATTTAATGATAAATGAAGAGAGCCCGTATTTAAAGCAAAAGGGAATTCGACTAACTGCTCCTCGCGATTCCCGACATAGATTACAGATGGTATTAATTTGGTCGGAAAGCATTATAAATTTGATGTATTACAGTTCTAAAAAATGAAAAAGAATAATTGAAGAATTTGATGATGTATAGGGATAAGTCAGTTTCATTTTTTTAAGAGAATTAGTGATCAAAGTCACTATTTCCATGTAGGCAATTTATGTGTCTAGTTTGTAATTTAGCGGAAATTCTTATCTATAATGTAATACTAAAGAACAGTTTGGCGTAAGACTGGCACCGTGGGAAAAATTTGGTCTATTACTACTGTTAAAAACAACATTACCAGTATACATTATACAAACAAACAAAAAAACAATTTCATTTTTCCGTGTTCCCTGTTGGAACTTGTATCCCAACTTAAAGAAATGTTTTTTTTAAATGTACTTTTCTCATTTTTAATTGTTGTTATTAGATATTATTGTCCTTGTTTTTTTTAATATGAATTTCATAAAATAATTTTCATAATAACTTTGCTTTCTGATTAGATAATAAATAAATAACAGGGATTATTATATTTATCAGCAATTAATATATTCCAAGCAAGAGGACCAAAAAATTTAAATGATACAAGGATTGATCTTGAAAAGTTGATTATAGATCAAAGCTTCACTACCCATGGACGCGAAATGATTTCGTGGTTTCTTTTTTATGTAACGGAATTGGGATTTATATCACTCAAAAGTTCTTCTACTGCATGGAGACCATTTTCAGAAACGTCAATTGCCCAGGAATCGACAAAATATTTCAAAAAACGGTAGAGTTACAAATAAAAATTTGCAAATTTTCGATTTATTTTGCCAACTATTTAGATGGCTCAATACGGCTTAATCGTAACAAAGTGACGCATCACAAAATCCATTGAATTATTTCGAAGTAGTGGTGAGTAAAAACACAGATAAATTGAATTTACGAAACCAAGAATCATAAATTAAAAGACTACCACTCGGAAAATATTTATCTGCAGTCCGGAGCAAGTTAGCACTTCTGCATTTCAAGGCATTCTTTGTAGTTGCCCTTAAGAGTTCTATATCGTAACTACCACTACAATTATTCAATTCTCATCCACTAGTATATAAAAAATGTTAACACGATTCTGTTTTTAGGTATTAGGTATTTTCGATTTGCATTAATGCACTGATTCGAGCAGCATATCCTCCTTAGGATTTGTGACATTAATCTCTGCATGCAACTCAACTTGCCAACAACAAGTTTCAGGTGATTGTAAAAAAAATGGAAACCAAATGGAATATGAGAAAAATAAAGTATTTCTATCTTATCTCATGACAGAGATGACGGAAATAATTTTAATATTTCTGTCACCTACAATGCTGAAATGTCCCAAATTTATACTTACGATGATTCGCGTGATTTAATGATTGCCGGACAGATATTAAATTAATACTAAAATTCAATACATAATGCACTTTGACAATATCGCAGATCTCTCTTGAAAATAGTTAAAATTGAAATAAAAAATCGAAGTGTTTCCACGCCGGCAAAGCCGTGGCAACAGCTAGACCAGAGTTTCCCAAAGTGGTCCATATGGACCCCCAGGTGTCCGTGGTACCATTCAGGGGGTCCGTGAAAAATAAAAACTGATTTAGGGGTCCCTGAAAAACGTCAGGGGGTTTAATATAAAATAAATTGCGATTTGTTTTTATTATTATGGAAATTAAGACAGATAAAATAGTAGCGATTTTTATGTCCTAAGTAAACTATAAATAAAGGTGGGTGCTTATAATTACTAACAGTGGTTTGTTACAAATCAAACAGTTGATTTACAAATTTTCTTATATCTTTTGTTCCCTTTTTAAGAGATAACAGTATGAATGAGTGGAAGAAAAAACGCCGAAAATACAGTGTTGAATATTTGAAGTATGTCTTTATTTCTTCACCAAGAAATAGTACTTTACCTATGTGTCTACTATGTAATATAACTATAACAAGTAATTCAAGGAAACANGGATTTGTGACATTAATCTCTGCATGCAACTCAACTTGCCAACAACAAGTTTCAGGTGATTGTAAAAAAAATGGAAACCAAATGGAATATGAGAAAAATAAAGTATTTCTATCTTATCTCATGACAGAGATGACGGAAATAATTTTAATATTTCTGTCACCTACAATGCTGAAATGTCCCAAATTTATACTTACGATGATTCGCGTGATTTAATGATTGCCGGACAGATATTAAATTAATGCTAAAATTCATTACATAATGCACTTTGACAATATCGCAGATCTCTCTTGAAAATAGTTAAAATTGAAATAAAAAATCGAAGTGTTTCCACGCCGGCAAAGCCGTGGCAACAGCTAGACCAGAGTTTCCCAAAGTGGTCCATATGGACCCCCAGGTGTCCGTGGTACCATTCAGGGGGTCCGTGAAAAATAAAAACTGATTTAGGGGTCCCTGAAAAACGTCAGGGGGTTTAATATAAAATAAAATTGCGATTGATTTTTATTATTATGGAAATTAAGACAGATAAAATAGTAGCGATTTTTACGTCCTAAGTAAACTATAAATAAAGGTGGGTGCTTATAATTACTAACAGAGGTTTGTTACAAATTAAACAGTTGATTTACAAATTTTCTTATATCTTTTGTTGCCTTTTTAAGAGATAACAGTATGAAAGAGTCGAAGAAAAAACGCCGAAAATACAGTGTTGAATATTTGAAGTATGTCTTTATTTCTTCAACAAGAAATAGTACTTTACCTATGTGTCTACTATGTAATAAAACTATAACAAGTAATTCAAGGAAACATTCCAAGCTTAACGAACAATTGATAAAAATCCATAGTGACAAAAAACAAAGATTTAACTAATTTTCAAACAGTCAAAGAAAAATATCTGAAAACACCGTCATTGCAACAACTTATAGGGACAACATCTGAGCGAGGTGACGATGGATTGCATGTTTCTCATAGTTTCGCATATTTCGATATATTACATGATTGCAAAATCTGGAAAGCCTCACACTATTGAAGAACTTATTTTACTAGCTGTAAGTGAGATAATACTCACCGGGTTGCACAAACCAGCTTTTAACATTGTAAAAAGAATTCCACGGAGTAATGTACAAAGAAGGATTGAAGTGTGTAGAAAATTCTTTATGTGAGTACTTAAAAATATCTGAATTTTCTATACAGCTTGACGAGTCCACTTATCCAGGAAACAAAGCTTTTACTTTCAGCTTATGTAAGATTTGTAAAAGAATGCAAATTCTACCAAGAATTGTTATTTGCTAAATGTTTGGAAAGCGATACGAAAGGGGAAACGCTATTGACTAAATTAAAAGCTGTACCCTTTACTATTATCATTTCTGTAGCTACTAACGGTGCTCCGGCAATGGAAGATACAGAGGTTTTCTGGCTAACTTAAAACAAGCTGCAGCGAATGTATTTTCAGTACATTTGCTAAACTTAGCGAAACTAATTTGAAACTACAAGATGAACAATTAAATTTAATCAAAACTAAAATCGTAAAACTGCTTTTGTTGCAAAACTTTTTCTGTATAAACAAAACTTGGAAAGAGGATATTGTTCTCTCAGTTTCAGTGCCGTAATGAACTTCATCACAAGAAATTATAAATAAACGATTAGAAATTAGTGCTCACAAACATTGAGCCGGACATAAATACACTTTTAAAATCTCACGTTCAAAGTCATGATTTTTTTAATTTTATTTTAAACAAAAGATATCAAGCGACTAGGGACAGGACGATTCCATAATACAAACGGACTTAGAAAATTTAGAAAGGGGAAAATGAGCTCGATATCGGGAAAATGTTGCAGGTGATTAAAATATCGCCTTATTTTAGCACCAACATTAGAAGTCAAATTTTGGCGGGATTTTCTGAAGAAAAAAAAAAACTTAACTAGGGTCATCAAAAAAGAAAGAATTGATTATTAGGCTTTACAGAGAAGACAGTCAGATTTGATATTTTTTATCTTCAAAGAACATTTTTGATGCAGAGAGGTACGTACCTCAGTACTGTTGACAATTATCGGTCGCTGTTCCAGCAATTCTGTACATGTTGGAGGAGCGTGAGGGGGGGGGGAGATCGTGAAAAGAATTCCGTGTATAAACCGGGCAGTGGCACTTGACCTTAAAAAAACATCAGTGTAGGGTATACCGGGCAAATGTATACTGGGCAGTGGCACTTAACTAGACCTTATATATATTTCAGACATTTACCAAAAGTCTAGTCGACTAGGCCTAGTATAAGTGCCACTACCCGGTATACCCTGCACTGATGCTTTTTTAAGGTCAAGTGCCATTGCCCGGTATATATTTGCCCGATATACCCTACACTGATGTTTTTTTAAGGTCAAGTGCCATTGCCCGGTATATATTTGCCCGGTATACGCTACACTGATGTTTTTTTAAGGTCAAGAGCCATTGCCCGGTATATATTTGCCCGGTATACGCTACACTGATGTTTTTTTAAGGTCAAGAGCCATTGCCCGGTATATATTTGCCCGGTATACGCTACACTGATGTTTTTTTAAGGTCAAGAGCCATTGCCCGGTATATATTTGCCCGGTATACGCTACACTGATGTTTTTTTAAGGTCAAGAGCCATTGCCCGGTATATATTTGCCCGGTATACGCTACACTGATGTTTTTTTAAGGTCAAGAGCCATTGCCCGGTATATATTTGCCCGGTATACGCTACACTGATGTTTTTTTAAGGTCAAGTGCCATTGCCCGGTATATATTTGCCCGGCATACCCTACACTGAAGTTTTTTTAAGGTCAAGGGCCATTGCCCGGTATATATTTGCCCGGTATACGCTACACTGATGTTTTTTAAGGTAAAGTGCCATTGCCCGGTATTACAGCAAACGTCGCAAAAAATAAACATAAAAACAAATGCAAACGGTCACGGTAAACACTTGAAATTTAGCCAATACGCCAAGGAGGCGAACAAAAAAATCCTCAATATTCTCAGTGTAATTACCCTCTTTCCCTATTTTTACTCTTCCGACGAAACTCTAAGTTTTTAACATTATGGAATCGTCCTTCCCCTAGTCGCTTGTCAAAAGATATAATTTCAATAAACAGTTCTTCAACAAAACGTTTTTTTATTTTAATTTGTAATTTTTAAATCGTACATATATGCAGTTTTTCACTTGGGGCCCCAAGTGAAAAACTGCATATATGTACGATTTAAAAATTAAGTAGGCAAGTTTTGACTATAAAAAGGGGTCCATGGGTCAAAAAAGCTTGGGAGCCACTGATCTAGACGGTGAAACAATTTGGTTAATATATTATTTAAATACAGTTGTGCTGCGCATTTGTCTTTATCATTAAAGTTCATATGTTTTCAAAATAACTTTAAAAGCTGACCAAACTCAACTCAACTGAAGGCGGCTAATTCTATTTACAAATATCTAACTAAAATGAATATAAGCAAAACAATCCATTGAATTTTTTTTAAATGGGCTTGGTTAGGATTTATTAAGAATATAGTTATAACGAGATGTATTACTTTGTGACTACCCAATACAAAATATTTTTATATTATTTCTTATTTTATATCCGTCAATGAACAGCCGACCCAATTTTGGGTTTACGACTACTCATACTCAACTCCGTAGCCTTGTAATTTTGAACCCAATCCAAATGACAAGGAAACTCCTGGATCAGTATCCCCAGAGGTATTGATTTGTTATGGGAACATGGAGGACTTTGCTACCCGACAGATTTAACGTGTATCAGTCACCATTTACTGCAAGGAGAGTCTTTAGCCGGCGGGGATCGAACCCTAAATCTCTTGGACATGGGCCCAGTCCCTACCAACCAGGCTATCCCGGCCCAATACAAAATATTCAAAAATAAGTAAATTGATTGATTCTTACACTCTGAGTGCACGAAGCATCATCAAAAGATGTTGAGTAGCTAACCACTGTACACCACCAACTATGAGGACTGTGTTGGTACTATTCTGCAATGGTCGAGACCTGGTATGGAGATAGAGAATAATTTTTTAATATCTGATAAATGAAAAGAGATTAGATATTTAGAAAATATCATTTAAATGATCTTACTTCTGTATGAGGTGATAGAGAGCTTTGTCGAATACCGGTCTCTGATTGGTGGGCAGCCAAAACTGTGGATAGTAAGCAAAACTGACCGCCGTTTTTTCGTCGTTCACGTTTTTGTAAACCCGAATATCGTGAGTTTTGTCCCATTCGTTTAATGAACCATTCAGTCGTTCAATGACATAATGCATCATACCTCTATTCGTTGAATCACCGATGAATAACAGCTATAAAAGAAACATGAATTAAATTTTGTAAATTCCTCATTTTGCAAAAATACTAAAAATATTTAAACAAAATTCAGTTAGTACTATTTAACGTGGTGTAAGACCGGGTACAACCCGGACGGTCTCCCCCATTGAATTTTGTCTATGCTGGGCCCACGAAAGCTGTAGTGCAGCAGATGAAGAAGATAACTATATCCAAGACAGAACGAAGGTTTTACGAACCTGAAAACATAATTTATTGTTGGCCCCTTTCGAAAGAGCAAAAAGCTTTATTTTCATATTTTGTAGATTCTTTGAATACCCTTTATACAAAATTAGTTTTAATAAAGATATAAAGACATTTTCTTCTAAAAACAATGGTAAACACTATATTTTTGAAGGTAATTTTCGTTGGATCACCAGCAGTTCTAGTCCCTCAGCAGACAATCTCTTTCTCTCTCTTCCCTCTTCCTTTTACCGACTTGACTACATCACATGAAAAATTACCTGTCTACTTTTCTTAAATTGTCTAAAAAATAGAAATGTCTGTTACTTTTTCATTGAAATTCTAGTAGTTCTAAATTTTCCATAAAGCATGTAACTTTTTATGGAAAAAAAATCATTTGTGAAAAGAGTAGCGCATCTATGACTTTTCGTGAATGATATATTGCATACAACTAAACAATGAGTATCTTGATTAAATCTGAGAGTTACTAGGTCGAACAGTTTAGCTTCAACTTTCCTTCGAATCTTAGCTACCCTGCATTACACCAACTTTCCCTATATATCTTTTAGATGATAAGTATTTTTATTCTATCTAAGTACTTTTCGATTAGAATAAATATTATAATGATATAACTATAAATGTTTTTTTTTGTTAAAGATGTTTCAGGAATTAAAAAAAAACTTACCTTTTTACCTGCCAAACAGCGTTTTAGTTGTTCTGTTGAAAGTGTGGCATGTCTACAACCATAGGGTTGCCACATTGCCTCTCGCCAAAAACAAGTGGATCTTTCAGCGCAAGATCGACATGGCAACACCCAACGACCTGAAAAAAAATTAAATTAAAATAATTTTTTTGTGCTGGAATACCGAACTTTATGAAATTAAAAATCCGATCTTATTCCATGAAAATACAATCTTGTCCGTAGAAACAATATATAAGGTGTTTTACTGCGAATATCTTTTATATATTGTTTTAATAACCTTACCGTAACTGAAGTCAAACAAATATATACATCACAAATTAACCTTTAAGAGAGTAAAAATCAAAAATGCTATTGAAATCTTTGGAATCCCAATTAAGAACTTAAAAAATATGCTTGATTATCAGAGGAAACAGTGAGGAATTAAAAATAGTATATAATAGAGGTTAATTTATTAAAAACTGCATTCCCTTCAAAATTATAGAAAATGGAAATAACAGTCGATATTTTTCAAGCGCTCTAAAATAGGTGGCCATTTTCAAGACCTGATAGACGTGAATTTAATTAATAAAGGCTCCTTCAAGTTCCATCAGACAACTAAGCTGATTTTGATGCTTTTCATTACGCTTTGTCAATAGTGATTCCAGAGGTTTCAATTGTGTGGTTGTTTCTTCCTCAATAAAATATCAAATTGCAATATCGATTGTGCATACTTTTTAAACTTTTCTTTTTGCGTTTATTTCGAATTTTTTCTGACCTTGTCCTAACACGCTATTTTCAACCTCTTATAGCTCCATAACTGTTGGAGCTACGGCTCTAAAATTTGGATATTGACTACAAGGAGCAATTTTAATCGTTCGAGTCCTTAGTAATAATCTTTCAAAAAATTATCTTTAAAATCTATCAATAAATCTTTCAAACAATTAAAGGAAATTAATTATAATATTAAGCCCGAAAAATTAATAAATAAAATATCGCGTGTTTAACTAATAAAAATTGAGCATATATAGTCTCGACTAATTTTCTAGGTATCATGTTCTCTTAGTATAAAGTTTGTAGTAAAATATGTTGCAAGAATTTCCCATAAAATTTAAAAAAAAAAAACAGATGAAAAGTCGTTTGTTTATTTGGTTTTATTATTGTTATTCGTAAATCACCGACTTTTCATCAACTTTCCTTAAAAAATGTAAAAGAAATGCTTGCAACACATAACAAATTTTGCTTTAAAATTTTTTAAATTATTTTTTTGACAAATGATCGTGATTATAAACACACTGTTTGCAAATTTGAAATAGAGATAGCCATGTAACTATATGTAGTTGCCATTATCAGCTCCAAGCCCACATAATTTGTTTTTCTGCTCTAAAATAACTATTTTTAAAAACGTTTTAGTAGAAAGAAGTAAAAATGGGGCATTTAATTAGTCTCTAAATCAATTATACGAAGACAATTCATGAATTTTTGAAAAACTCAATATTTAGAATTTTAAGTGCTAACAACAAAAGTTATTTACTTTTCAGAGGTGCGAATGTGATTCTTTCTAATGAAATAACATGGAAAATCCTGTTTAGTGACAGTAACAATATGAAATAAAGACAGATTATTATTTGTTAAGTTTTTATTTTTATTGAACGATTTCTTTTTTAAAATTTCGATTGCGTTAAAGAATGTCTATTTTTACAGATACAAATAATTATAGAGAATATTGCTAGGAATATGTTATAGCTATGTAAGAAAATAAAAGAACGTTTTACTGCATCCATAAATTTAAGTTAAAATTTCCATACAAACCATAAAAATGCAAACGAATTCAGTGATCAAACTGAAACTAAAATTAAGGATAATTACTATAGCTGTTTTACTTCAAAGGCGAAAAGTAAGAGCTACCCTATGGTTATTAATTACGCCTTCAATATCGAGTGTATAGTGTAATTGAATAAAACTGTCTATGGGGAATTTCGCTTAATTAATCATAATCTGACGAATAACGGCGCTTCATTCACAGAACAGCTTTCCTCGCGTGCTAATATACTTCTAGAAAATGTGAGTCACGCAGGCTACTTATTTGAATAATTATTCGAAATTCCAAGACACTTCTGAAAGTAGGCTTATGAGACTACTTCGTTAACTTTCGGTATTTTATCGTGTTAACTACCATTCATAAAGATGGTATGAAGAACTTTACGAACTAGACGAGTTCTTTTCGTTTAGTTTTCTCTTATTTAACATAATTATTCTCCCTTGACCTGTATAGAAGAAGATGGAATGGCGGAAATGGTTGTTCTAAAGATAGTATATGGCGTTTTTTTACTATTATGGAGCTTAAGATTAGATAGCACGCGAAAAGGAATCTAGAGTAAGGTAGTTTAGTGCCTATTTGTAGAAAAAAAAGATCATTTCGTGCGGTGGTTTAGGTATGATATGGGACCGTTAGTTAGGGTTTTAATGATTTAACAACTGTTTTTTTTTAGATATCAAGGTTAAAAAATGAAATTTGAAATGTTAGTATATTTTATTAGCTGTCGAATCCAAGGACATACCCTAAGAATATCTTAATGAAAACCAGAACCAATAAATTTTAGTTTATTAGAGTGTTATTTTTCTGAAACAGTCAGACTTAATAATGTCCAATAATAGAATATCCAGAAATTAAATGATAGATGTTTCGTATGAATTCATTAAGACTATTTTTTGATGACTTTTATTATTTTAAATTTAGATATGAAACTATAAATAGATAAACGAAAAGGTAAGTGTAGTCATGTTATTTTCGCAAGCTATGTAGAATGAACGTTGATGGTAATATATATTTTTTGAATTCTTATTAGAGAAGAAATCATCAGGACAAAATTAGAAATTTTAGATATTAGCTAACGACCAGTTGTAAAATTTTTTAACAGTGTCCACACTTAAGACATATCAGTATTTTTTTTTCAAAAATATTAAATGATTTAAAAAAAGCTGTTTATATTGTTAACATATGGCATTTCTTTTGAAATATTTCTCTGAAATATGTTAAACATTACAAGATTTATTTCTGAAATGAAGAAAAATTTGTAAAAACATGCGGGAAATAATGTAGCTTTCATAATAATATGAAATTCACATAATAGTTAAATAATTATCATTAATAATAATAATATAATTTTTTCCTAACCACTGTCACTGAACTTCTCATTCTTCGTCCCGGATGATGCCGGAAGTGTTGCTCATTTAACGTTACCTGACAGGCAACTGTGAGCTTAAGTCACGGAAACGACCAACATTAAACATGCCACAGACCCGTTCATAGGTTGTGCCAAATTCACACATCACACAATAGAGGACAACACACTGAGAGAAACATTCATGCCCTGAGCGGGACTCAAACCCGTACCATTGGCGTCGCAGTTAGGTAAGCTGACAGCTCAGCCACATGGCCGGTTAATAATAATAATAAAATGCAATTTAGGTTCAGTTTCGACTAAAAAAGTGGCAATTCGTTGGCGACTACAGATAATTTTTTAATCACCACTTGTTATATTTCGGCGTCCTGTGGTCAGTGGCTTCATTTCAAAATGATTTAGATTAGTAAGGAGAAAATGGGTTTTAGCGATTTTTAGATTTTTCTCCTTTCGATTGTTGTTGAAGTATGCCTGTTTAGGCAGAAGGGGTGCGGTTGTACTTGTTTTCCAGTGGCGCCATCTATGGCCAAGAATTCGACTTCTGCTACACCATACGTCGCACCCGTTTATAGGGCGGACCCATTCATACATCCATTCATTCATCCACAGATCGTAATTTTGACCTGAATCAGAGAACGATCTATCTCCAATCCAGTACCCCCGGAGGTATTGATATGTTATGGGAACATGGAGGACTTATGCGACTCGACAGATTTAACGTGCATCCGTCACTTTACTACACGGGGAGTCTTCGTCTCCTTTCAATTTGTACTCTCTTAAGAAAGTTCGGAGGAAAAAACTCTTAGGCGTGTTTATGTACAGGGTTTTGCATAATAACCATCTTTAAACCAGATTTTTAAAATTCTTTACAAAAATAATATACATTAGTAGTACAGTGAACCAAAAAAAATGGACCACCTTGAATAACTTTTGATCTAATGATCGAATCTTCACGATCTAGGATTCTCCTTCTAGGACTCATTCTTAATGGTTCAAGGGGGTGACCGTAAATATGCTTATTAATCAGTGCAGACGATATTTTAAGTTACGAAATCAGTCACAAAAACGTACTTTCTCTGAAAAAACATATGTTTTTTTCCGACAGATTCGGATTTCTGACCTTCAAAATATAGGGGGTAGCCGCAATCTGGGAAATATGGTCATTGTAGTTTGATTAGGAGAGCGATTCAAAGTCTGCACCCCTTAATGTTACTTTTAGCGTATTTCGTCATATCTCGAGAACTTTTTAACCGAATGGAAAAAAATTTACACTCAATTATAAAATTTGTTTGTCCTAAGATAATAACATAATTCCATGCAAAAAAAAATTTTAGTCAATATTTTTTATTATTTTATTTAATAGTAGTAGAAAAATTTTGAATTTTAAGGTATTCAACTTTTAACATTTTAAATTTTGCAAATTAACATTACAAAATACAAAATTTGAGCGAAATAGGTCTAATAGTTTCTGAGAAATCGAAGTTTAGATAAGTCAGATATATGAAATTCATATAAAATCGAAGGTTAACTTAAGCAAGTATAAAAAGCAGCACAACTAGAAATATTAAAAAAAGCAGACGACATTTTTGGAATTGTTTTTTGAGTTGACTGATTCAGACCGAGAGTTGTAAGCCCGTTATAGGAAAATATTAGACACAGATTTTGTTGAGAAATGTGAACGGCTCGTTAAGGAATAAGAAAGTGTAGGAGTTTGAGTTATATCATAGCCTAAATAACTTCCTGCTGGTCAGTTAGTTCTGATGTCATCGAGTTTAAAATCTTCTGAAGTGATGGAATTGTTAGAATCTTGTTTTATTTAGAAAAAGCTTTCCGATACTTAAATAAATGTCATTTTTATACTAACTGGAACTCCAATTTAACATTTAATACAATGTTTTTCGGAAATATTTCATATAAAATCGAAAATGTTTTCAAAATTGTAACACTATCTGAGTGATATATAGTCAAAACATGTACTATTAGAGGAGCATTCGATCTCGAACGGAATGAATTATTTCCATCAGCATGAATAAAAGGTGTGATTCCTCACCTGGAGCATCACCCTGCATACAGATGGGAGTGTCATTAACCTCTTCCATATATGAGATCCAGTCACGTGATATGCCCGCATCTCTCTGTATGCCACATAATTCTGTTGGTGAGACCCGCATTTCACATTCCTAAGAAAAAAAGGGGATAAGCTTTTAAGAAAATTCCTGATACCACATCCATAAAACATACCTTCAGAAATTTTTTTATGAGCTAAAACCTTTAAAATCCTAAAGGACGTTCTGTCTTTAAACTCTTTTACGGCCGACAGGGAAAAAAAAAATCCATTATTCCGTCCTCCTGCGTCGTTCAAGAAGATGGAAGGGATTTTTATGTATTATTAGGCATTATATTCCTTTTCAAAAGTTTTTGTTCATCCCGTGGTGCTGGAGGCGGAGTTTTATTATGTATAATTTTGGAATAATTTATACGGGCATTGAAAGCATAGCATCGAAGCATGCAAAGTAGGTGCTTTTCGAATGATAAAGAAGTTCCATTTCGAAACAAAGTACCGTTCGCAAATATTTAACAGCCCCAGCTTTTCAACATTTGGCCAACAAAGAAGTTGCATTTGCTTTAATGTTTTTCAAAAATATTTTCCAAGAAGGAATTTTTCGTTTGAAATCTGATAGATAGTAAAATGAAAAACAGAAATATTTTCATTTGTTATAGAATTGTTAAATAATGATAATTTAACGAAATATTCATGTTTAAATAATAAGTTTGCAGGATGTGAGGATCATAAAATACGCGCATATATGAATAAGGTTTGTACACTATACACTGTTGGAAATTTTGGAGAGTTTTGAATCATACTATATCGTTTAAATTTGCTTATAAAGCATACCATATTATAACATGTTATAGCAATATTATAGCTGTATTATATTATAGTATTACAATATATTATAGTATTACATTATATTATAGTATTATATTATAGTATAGTATTTTGCTTCATGACAAGTAAACATGATTACACGATACCATGATTTAATTTGAAAGACAGTTCAATTGTTTATTAGGATGCAGCGAATTTGACACAAGTTGTGATTTTTTAAAATTTTATTTTATAACCGTCGTTGAACAACAGACCCAATTTTGGGTTTACGACTACTAATGTTCAAGTCCGTAATCTTGTAATTTTGATCCAATCCAGAAGACAAGGAAACTCCTGGATCAGTACCCCCAGAGGTTATGGGAATATGGAGATATCTGTTATGGGAATATGGAGGACTTTGTGGCTCGACAGATTTAACGTGCACCAGTCACCATCTTCAACCGGCAAACCCATGACCTCTTGGACATGGGCCCAGTGCCCTACCAACCAAGCTATTCCGGCCCTCATAAGTTATACATTCTGAGAAAAATCTTTTTTTTTAATTATATGTCATAGGCTAATTGGAAAAACCAGCTGTTTGCAAACGCTGACGTCATTCTGCAATGCGACAACAAGCCTTACTGCAATAAGCCTAGTAAATATTATGCCATTTCGCAATAAGTTGGATTTTCCATTTAGCCTAAGCTGGAGCCTGTTGAATCATAATATATTCCAGCTTGCTTCAGCCTTAATAGGGTGCTAAGTTGAACCAGATTATCGTCATTCTCAAACTTCATGACACCATATTAGTATTTAACTTAAACGGAAATATAGTTCAGTTTAGCCTCGCATTAAAAGTCTAGCAAACCTACGCTGCATTCGAGAGATCACATAAAGTCAGGATGACCAATCCCTAGGTAAAAATACTCTGATCTAGTTTTCCGCGTTTTTGTGAGTAAACTTTTTTCGTCCATCACAAATTCTCACTTTCTATAATAAATAAGCTTTCAAAAGGTGAAGGCATGCATTTAGCAATTGATTAATTTAACACCAGGAGAGCAAGAAAAATATTGTTACCTGATGTAAGCTGCAGACTTGATGTTGAGTGGCAGGATCAAAGGGAGGCTCCTCATGCGTAATGGTCAGTCTCTGCACAAAGAGAGTGTAGGTATTGATTATCCAGGGCTCTGTGTGTGTTATGTCTACCAGTAAGAAATTAATTCTATTCTCTCCTACTCCCAGCGTGTAGTTAGTTGTTCTAAAAGAATTATCATTACATTAGTTTATGGATTAAATTTAAGAATGTAAAAATTCACATTAAAATAGTTAAGTGTCCGGAAATTCACACAAGAAGTAGTTTTGAGAGAAACCTCTTAGATTTTATTTTATTTCATAATCATTAGCAGAACAGCCGATCCGATTTTGGGTTTACGACTACTAATGTTCAATTTTGTAGCCTTTGAATTTTGAACCCATTCCAAAAGACAAGGGAACTCCTGGACCAAGTACAAGGAGAAATTTGCCTTCATGGAGGCCTTTTTGATGGAACTAACCCACATTTGCGTTACATGGAGAGAACCTCCCTAGACGTATCCCTGACGTCAAGGGGACTCTAACTTATGATCCATCTACCATTGAGGATATTTTACGTCAGCACTGTGGTCGGCGCGAGCTGGATGCCGAATTTGTATCGACCAGCCATCCCTGAGATTTGAAACCGGTTACCCTCATTGGAAGGCGAACTCTATCCTCTCAGCCACCACTGCTCAACCTTAGGTTTATAATTAAAAATTAATTCACAATATAGGGTTTTATATAGAATACCATATCGGATATAGTTCGTTCACCAGGAGTTGGCACTTGGCTCCTCCTTCATCACGTGATATACGAGGCTACTATTTCCCAGTTTTTGGGAGAAGGTTATGAGCAATACTGAACAAGGTTGCTATTTGGCGATCGTATGGCAAAAATATTTATTTCGCAAACTTTATGTGCATTTTTTAAACATTAAATATTTCATAGATGTGATGATATTCCGCCCCATTTTTGTGATATTTCTCTCTCTTGAGTAAATAATTTGTCCTTTTTGAGACATTTTTCTAGGAAAACAACAGTTTTTAAATTTAAAATATATTTAATTAGCTAGAGAAATGAAAGGTATAATAGCAGATGATAAAGCGAAGTAAGTAACTGAAAAAGAATTAACTGTTTGCGTTTGGCGCGCATCAAGGGTTTCAATTTCAAGAGCGGAGATGTTACTCTTCTTACTCCCGCTCTGAATGAACTCTGCGTCCCAGGAGGTGGAGCCAAGTGCCAACTCCTGGTGAGCGAACTATAAATGATTTCTACAATTTCGCTGGCACATAAGAATTTCGTTGATACAGAGTCCAATTACCTACCTCAAGGTATAGGTGGTTGAGGGCTTGGTGGCAAAGTTTAACTTTATTTTGACAAAAATGGTCCCCTGGCGTTGAACCGCATGTTCCGAAGAAACACCTAATTTGGAAATTATATGGTCGCGGAATAACTAAACATCATTATGACCACCCTGCTAATAACAAGTAGGACCAACCCTTAGCCATCAAAACTGCTAGCACCCGCCGTTGCATTGATTCCACAAGGCGCTGATAGGTAGTCTGAGGTATCTGGTACCAAGCGCCTACCAACTGTTCCTGCAATTCCCTCACATTGCGAGGGGATAGCGTGGCAGCATGAATTTGGTTTTCCAAGTAGGACCACAAATGCTCTATTGGATTAAGGTCAGGTGAATTTGGGAGCCAAGACATGACTTGAAAGCCACTGGAATGTTCCTCGAACCAGTCCTTGACGATTCGACCTTTATGACATGGTGCATTATCCTGTTGGTAAACACCATCCCCCACAGGAAAAACTGTTGCCATGAATGGGTGAACCTGATCTGAACCTATATTCAAGTAGCTTACAGACGTCAGGGATTGTTCTATGAGGATTATGGGTCCTAATGTGCCCCATGAAAACATTGCTCCTGGGCGAGAAACCATGAAAACCTGGGCGAGCTCATTGTTATAGATGGAGGGTGGTCATAATGTAACGGCTCTTCGGTGCATATATATATATATATATATAAGATGAATAAAGAAACTTTACATTAAAAACATATATAATAGAAGAATTTCCACGAATTTACGAGTAATTTGAGTTTTTGTTTAAGATAGACATGAAAATGTACAAATTGAAATTATCTAACACTGGTAATAAAAATCTGCGAAGATTAAGCTAATATTATTCTTAAGAATAAAAACTCACCTGCTAGGTCCGTATTTGTCGTCAATGCGCACTTCAGTTTGACAGTTCTGCGCCTGCGCAGAAAGTTTTACCATCAGTTGATCATAGCTAACGTTTGCGTAATAATCTGTGACCAAAGGGTTAAAATGAGGGCTGAGGTCAAGAGGAGGATACACAGAAATACTGGACAAGTAAGGCATCGTGGTGGGATCTGTAACAGATGAAAAAATGCGCTCGCTTATGATGAGAATATTCCATATAATATTCTAATGCGTAAACAAAAGGGAGAATTTACTACTTTTATTCAAGTTTTTAAAATGATATTTTATTTTTCAAACATAGGTTTTAGAAATCGTGTTAAGTTTGTACAATGGTGTGCACAAGTCCCTAACCATTATATTATTATTCTAAGTTGATCACAATAAAAAGATAAAATGAAAACTATCAGTCTTTTAAAATAACCATATGTTTTTAAAACAGTATGGACTTTGTATGGACTTATAATGCAATTTTTTAAAGTTTATATTCATAAACAGTAAAAAGATTAAACAACTTATAAAAATATACTGGATGGAAACATTTTGCACGAAACTGTATTCGCTAAGTTGTAGATTACCGATATAGCGAGTATTCTAACGGAGAGAAGGAAATTATCCAATTTGCGCACTATACTCAATATAATGCAAATAAGAAAATTTATTTCTTACGATTCTTGATGTCCAGTAGTACATGCTGACATCTTATTGCTTTCTGTAAAACTTTTTCGAAATACTTTTGCGGCTAACGTAATCTAGATTTTGTCAAGATATATATCCGGTCAGTATATATCATACGTGATGCAAAATTCTTCGTGTTGTTGGTTGTACTCATAATGCATAGGCCGATCTAGTTCCTAGTCGGGCCAATCATTATGAGTATCTGAGATTCAAGCAGCTATATTTCAGGTACCCGGAATATAAACTACGTTATTTTGAGTTCTCAACAACGGGACTGCTGTACCTAGAGTTTCCGATATTGAGATCTTTTATCTTTCTAGTTTCTGATATAAGAATTTCTTTATTTCGAGTTTTTGGCATTTGAAGTGCTGTAATTCATGCATTTAGAGTTTCGGACATAAGGGCCTTTCAGTAATTCACATTCCTGACATTCAAAGTACTGTATTTCAAATTCCTAAAATTCGTAATTCTGTATTTCTTTGTTTCCAATATCCTGACTGATTTATTTCGAGTTTTCAAATCCTGATCGCTTTATTTTGAGTTTCTAACATTCAGAATACCGTAATTTGAGTTCAGAACATTTTGAAATTTATATTTTGAGTAACTCACAATGGAACTGCAGCATTTTAAGTTGTTAGATTGCAGTATGTTAAGTTTCGAAGAGTTATTGAGCTAAACATAAATATTTAAAATGAGAGAACACTATTTTCTTTTTACTCTTCTATGCAATGATCACACGAGTTTTATTTGAGAGTTATTGCTTTAGTGAGACTTTGCGCCCGAAAGATTGTATTTCATAAAATTTTGTATCACGATTATTTCAACCAAATGCTCCATTAAAGATTTCTATAATTTAAGCTTGAATCTTATAATATATAAAAACGATAATACTTCTTAAACAAAGGTATAAAGAGTATTTAGTAGGTAATGTAAAGTATATTGAAAACTTGTAAAAGTAATTAAAATAAATCAATAGAAAATAAATCAAATTTGTATCGATATTTCAAATTGAAATCTGTCTTCTAACGTATTAAATTGTATCAAATGCTAAGGAGTGTCAAATTAACGAATCGATATTTCCAATTGAAATCGGTCTTCTAATGTATTAAATTGTATCAAATACTAAGGAGTTACAAATTAACCTTATAAATTAAATGGAAAAGAAAGTAATTAGGAAACTAAAATTTCCAATTAAAATCCCGGTGTGCATAATTGCAAAGAGTTGATTTTAGCTCAGAGTATATATAAAAATGATTAACGATTCTTCATCACAAGTGCGTTTGTCGAAGTTTAATAATTTTCTTACCGCAATATATTCCACAAAAACTGTATTTATGTTAAGTTTCATGGTTCAAACATTCAAGAAGTTAGTTCGTTAAGTTTTTCTACAATTCAATTTTAAAAGTCATATTTCAACAAAATATGAGTAAAATAAATAAATCTATGTTAAAATTATTCTCCTTTTTTAATTATGAAGCAATTTTTTAAAACTATTTATGAAATTTGCCGACAGTCTTATCTTTGAATAACTTTTCAAATTATTGAGAATCTTTGAATAATAATTGATAAATTTATGAAATAAATTCAACGTTTTTCAACACTACTCTAGAATAACTTTATTTTAGGCGAAAGAATTTATGTTACACGCAGCTGAATTATCATAATTATGGTGAGTGTATGTTATATAATCTCGAAAAAAAAATCGTTTATCTAATTTAATTTAATTAAATTACACCCACAGACATAAAATACTATTTATCTACAAGTTAAATTTGGAAATTAAAAGCGTTTTTAAAAAACATTCACAAGTTAGGAAAAATTTTACGTCTACGAAAAATATGGCAATTTAATCTTATAAGATTATGTAGTTGATAATAAAATAAACAAGATTAAATCTCATTAAATTAGTAATGCATATTTTGATAGGGGAGGAAGAAATATTTCGGATAAGTGCAAACAAGTATTTTTCTAAATTAGTATTACATACTATGCACGTGATCATTTTTTTTTTATAATTTACAAAAAGAAAAACATATGGCACTTTCTCTTTAAACTTTCAAGAGCTACTATAAATAAGAGAGAGTCAAAGTTAATTAAAAATTAAAAAGAACAGTTTCTCCACCACACTATACATTTTTATTTTTGATGAAGGTTTATGCGATTATTTTGCCTAAAAACTTGTTATCAATTTATTGTAAAATTAAGTAAATTAACTCTTGTAGAATAAATGAAAATAATATAATGAATGAATCTAAATCCAGTATTTAGTATTAGATAGTTTTAATATCTTTGGGTATATTAAACTATCTGTTTGATTTTATGAATAATGCTCTAATGAAAATAATTTTTAAATTTTTTCACCGGTATCGAACAACTGGTCTAAATCGAATTTGTGGTTACATCAATATTAAATTCTGTATCGTAATTATGAACCCAAATTTGATGACAAGAGAATTTCTGAATCAAGGATTAGGATAAGTTAACCTTCGGGAGCCACGGTGGTTAGAGCGAAGGCTAAAGCGTTCGCTTCCCATTGAAGTGACCCAGGCTGGTTGACAGAGGCTGGTTAATATGAATTCTGCTCCCGGGTTGCATCGACCACAGTGCTGCCGTAAAATATCATCAGTGGTAGACGGATCATGGGCTAAAATACCCTTGCTAATCGGCTAACCATTGGAGGTTTTGGTGGTTTTACTCTTCACGTAACACAAATGCAAGTTAATACCATCAAAAATTCTTCCACGAAGGCTAGTTTGTTTCAATGCTTGATCCAGGAGCGCCATTGTCTTCTGAGTTGAGTTCAAAATTAGAAGGCTGTGGAGTTGAACAATGATAGTCGTAAACTCGGAATTGAGTCAGCTGGTTAATGCCGGTTATAAAATAAAATAAAAAGTTCCCCTTCGGGAAATACTTTTCATTTGAACTAACTCTAAGTAACGTTACGTGGATAGAAAAAAAAGAAAACCCTGTTAATCATACGACAAGGGATCTCTAACCCATGATCCGTCCACCACTGGAGATTTTTCGTTTTTAGGCTTAGATTTCGTTACATACAAAGCATTTTATTTCACTTCATTTTAATTTTATTTAATGGAAACATGTACGAATCGTGACTAAAATATGTACGAAAAGTGGGCAAAAAACAAGATTTTTTACTGATTTTTTGACTCAAAGGTGTTCAACATGGTGACTTTCAAAGAAGTTTAGCAAATTAGCTTCATTTAAACTTTTATTTTTTAAAATTTTGCAGGAGAAAAAGGATAATTTTTGAGATATTTTCATTCTTTTATAGATAAATTTGTAATCGTCTGACTAACATTTAAGTTTACCATTTTTTTGAAAAATATATTTTTAAATTTTTCTAACCTTAAAATTTTTATGCTTAAATTATAAACCTTTAAATTTTAGACTTTAATATTTACTATAAAAACCATATAGTTTCAATGCAACTCCTTTCACGAAACCATTGTGCTTCGTAAGTAAAAAATGTATACTTTGAAAACTTCAGCCAATTTCTATAAACAGCTACCGAGAAAAGATACATTTTAAAGATTACATTCAGCAAAATACAGAATTGATTACATTTATACGATACATTTTAAAGGTTTACGAGCAACTTAGTGAAAATATTTGATTGTTACTTACCATCACTACAGCTTGGTAAAAAAGGCTCTGGAATGTAGAAATAGGAAAATTTAATTCACAATATTAAAATACGAAATTACATGATAAAGTAAAAATTGTGTACCATAATAAAAAAAACTACTAGCAAAATCAGAGTTCATACAAGAATTTTTAAAACTGTATTGCAATACATTATGTGATGCAGGGAAATTAGCATAATCATTGCTGTGTGACTTATTGCAATAAAAAGATCACTGGAATGGTAAATATTAAACATTTATATTCGTATGAAAGTTTAAATGCTGAAACGCACGATTCCGAATACTTCGATTGTATATAGTATTTGAAATAAAGAGATTTTAAAAACGATGCGGAAATTGCAGGATCAGCAGACCACTGACTGTAGCAACTGCGGAGAATTCGATAAGAAAATGACGTTGATTTACGGTGGCATAGTTGGAAAATGAGCTCGTTAAAAAGTGATTGGTCAAATTTGAAATCATATTAAAAATTTCATTATTTGAAAAGCCATTTAAAAAAAGACCTAAAAATGAAAAATTACTACCGAGAAAATGGTCGGTAAATGCTATGGATTTATGATGAAATCATCACGAATAAAGCACGTTAAAAAATTATTACGCAAATTTAAAATTCGGTTTTCGAAATAAGATTGTATTAAAAATATCGAAATTGAAATGACTATATTAAAAAATGAAAAAAGTCGAAAATCGATCAAAAATCCAGATCATCAGAAGTTACTTGCAATTTTCGCTACTGCGTTTTTTTGTAATTAGAAGTTTAGAAGTTTTTTAATTAGCAATTTGCTAGTTGACGAAATCCTGACCTGGCATGTAAGTTGTAAATGTAGGTCTGGAGCAATATAGTTTTGCAATTTTTTTTCTCTCCAAAAGGTGGCATTCCTATAGCAAACTGCTTTTTAGTATAATACCTATTAGATTTCTAATGGACAACAGCACAATACACTGGAGTATGTTATTGAGTACTTGGAAAGTAATGGTGTTTCTTGCCAAAAACATTTTCCTGAACAAATTGAAAGTATGGTTTTTCATTACAGTGCTTTTAGCCTTTAAAATACAGATGGAGACTGTATGAAAAAAGATTAATAACACTTTTAAATGACTCGCATATTCATTTACTTTGTCCTCATGCTTTTAATGGAAAATACTGTTGTTTCAATTCGTTTGTTTGAATTTTCAATTCAATAAAACCGCAGAGAATAGATTTTGAAATTCAGTATATCTTTCGATGTTTAAAAGTAAACATAGTTCAATATGAGTATAAAAGAAAATTAATTTGAAATGTATGCTTAAAAAAATGGACATATCATTTGATTTCTTTTTTTCCCCTGCTGCTGCAAAGATTGTATTTTAAAAGAGTTAACTAATTAATTAGAGAACAAAGATTTTTCCTGGATTTAAAAAAAATATTAATGGAATTTTCATATTGCTTTGATACGCAAGAATAACATAAGTATTGAATGTTTGTGCTCAATGTTTATTATAAAAGGGGACTTTTGAGTTATGTGTACAATGTTGACATGAGAGTTTGGGTCATGGGATTGCAGTACTCGGTATATTTTCTCTTTTTTTACAATTGAATGATTTCTCATGTCATAATTCACAGGGTCATAATTCACTGTGCAATTCTCCCTGTGCTAACTCAGTTACATTATGTTCAGTTTTTCAAATGGGCACGTGAAGCTATGTTCGTTTCTTTAAATATGCATGTTTCAAACACACATTTCGACCTATGGCAATTTCCTTAAACTCTCATTTTGAGCTCCATCAAAAATAAAAAAAGTTTACCGATGATGTACACCGAAGAGCCATTACATTATGACCACCCTGCTAATAACATGTAGGACCACCTTTAGCCCTCAAAACTGCTAGCAAAATTATAGGGCCTCCTCGGTCACCCGACCTATAATGTCTTGATTTTTGGAGTCATATGAAAACACTGGTTTATGACACCCCTGTTGATAATGCTGTTTGCAAGAATCGCAGTAGCTGCCTGCGAGATATGCCTTGAGTATTGCAGAATGTTCGAATNCCAAGACATGACTTGAAAGTCACTGGAATGTTCCTCGACGATTCAACCCTTATGACATGGTGCATTATCCTGTTGGTAAACACCATCCCCCTCAGGAAAAACTGTTGCCATGAATGCGTGAACCTGGTCTGCAACTATGTTCAAGTAGTTTACTGACGTCAGGGATTGTTCTATGAGGATTATGGGTCCTAATGTGGCCCATGAAAACATTGTTCTTGGGTGAGAAACCATGAAAATCTGGGCAAGCCCATTGTTTCATATGGAGGGTGGTCATAATGTAATGGCTCTTCGGTGTAATTCCATTGCAAACTTCGTAAAAAAATTTATTTACAAAAAATAAATAAATAAATGAATAAAAAATAAATAAATGAATAAAAAATAAATAAATGAATAAAAAATGAAGTAATATGAACTAGAAATAATATCCAATATAATAGCGATTACTTACAAAAGAAAAAAAATTGTGAGCGCATTGTCGGTACTTTTTATATGATTAGATTTTCATAAGCACCAGAACTTTTCAAGTCATGAGTTGCAAAAACTGCATTAATTTATGCTTGTTTTTTTGCTGTCCAATGGGCTAGTTAGGTTTTTCAATTTTCTTTAATATACGTTTCTTAAGACGTCACAAATTCTTCTTATTTTTTCAGTATTCCTATCTATACTACCACCGCTAAGACAGTAATTATGAATAAGTTAATCATAAAAAGAGCATAAAAATACTGTGTATACAGTTAATACTGTGTGAAAATAAAAACGAAAACTCTGTTTGGGAAACAATTAACTACATGGAGTTTCAAAATTATTATCTGCTTTTTTTAGTTGCTTTTTAGTTATTGCTACGGCTGTTAAATTTTTTTTAAAATTTATGCTTATGTTAGTGGGATTTTTTTTGTTGCGAATTTTACAACTCTTTATTTGATTTCTTGGCCAAGAAAGGAACAACTATTGCCCAAGCATCTCGTTGCTCCATCTCTCTGCACTCATTTAAATTGCTGGTCCGAAACCAATTCCGGAACATGCTCTCATAGAATTTCAGTACAAGCAATATACACAAAACCTGGTTCAACCATATTTTAACTATCCCAAATCAGCCCAGGTTTACGGCAGTCGCTCTCTTTAGACTTGTAACGGGCCATGACTGTCTGGCCAAACACCTTTTTAGCATAAACATTTTTGACTCTCCTAAATGCAAGCTTTGTCGCCTTGGGGAGGACATGGACTTGCCCCATATTTCCGTCTGTCCTGCGCTCATCTCCACTACTGTGTGTGCACGCTACTGGGAAGCTAGGGCCCGTATGGGCTAAGCATGTCACTGTGCATTCAATTTTATTTATCTCTTTTTGCCTTGTTTTTCTTGTTGTTTTATCCTTTTTGTTCTTTTAAATTGGCCTGCCATTGGAAATAAAAAAAAAATTATTTGAGATTATGTATTAAAGTTGATGTAGTCAAAAAGTGTGCGGACGTGAAAAACCCAGAACAACAATAATTTTCTCAATGGTTAAAAATTGTTAAAAAGTAGATTGGGAAGTAAGTAATTTTCGTTAAATGGAAGAAATTAACGGAAATATTACAATTTTCATGAATTTTATTCTCAAAAAAGAAGCATTTAAGTGATAAATGAAAGAATTCCGATATTACAGCGGCTAAAATAAGCCAATTTTCGCCTCCCCCCTTTTTACACTGAACACGAGAAACATGAAAGGTATAGTAAATCTCTGTTTCGTTCTACACCATGAGATTCTATGACATAGTTTTGGTAGCTATAGGTAACTGGGTAGTTCATCGGCCTTTTAAATCAAAATGATATAATTGTCTGAAGTATTAAAACACGATTGTAGTTAAAAGTGAAACAGTCAACATGCGTATAGAATAGATAAAGATTAATATGAACTGAAGGGCTTTGAGCAATATAGTCTCAAGCCTAATTTTTTCTGAAGATAAAATGTTTACATCGAACTGTTCTTTAGTACAGTTTATAGATAGATACTTTATATGTTTCTGAAATTTTCACTAGATAATAAATACACTAAACTTAGACATCTTATTGCCAAAATAAAAACTGTCTTGCTTTTCATTTCAAAAAATCGCTAAAAACGATATCCTTCACAATTCGAAAATATGATTAATTATCATTATATTGTACCAAGTCCTTCTATTGTTTTTTATATAACATATTTTTAAAATGCTTAGTTACAATAAATATTTGTTTTGGTGAAAATACTAATATCAAAAGGATTTGCACGTTGAACTTTTTAAATATTCATAAATAATTTTTAAAAAGATTTTCAAGATTACAAAAAGTTAAGCAAGAGGGATTATTTTATAACATTTTCATTTATTTCAATGAGGAAAAAATGGCAAAACTTTTTTTTGAAAGCGAAGTTTACATAAAGCAATTAATTCGCATATTTGTATTATAATCCTTGAGATTAAGTTAGATGATAATTTTAGTTAAAAAAATTAATTAAACGAATTTAATTTAAAAGGCTTGTTTTTCAAAGAGGAATTTATATTTTTTGAGCTATTATTTAATTTAACTGAAACCTTTTTCCTTTTGCTTGAAATATTACTGGTTAGAAAAATTAAATGCTAGTGCTATTTCTTTTTTATCCTATAATCCATTGTTAATATAAAATTTGTAAAAAAAATATACAATTAAGGAAATTAAATAAAAAGACAGTTACATTGAAATGAGAAAATATTTTGACCTTACTATAGTTACGTTGAATTATCTTTCTTTTAGTCGCCATTTTTTTACATGTTTAAACGAGATATACAATAAAATATTTTTCAAATAAATAAATATACATCTGTAGTGATTTAATCCTCAACTTTAATCAAAATCGGAATTCAGAACGGCTAATATACTTTTCATGGGGATTTAAAATAAGTTTTGTTTAAGGTAGGAAAGTAATATGAACATTGCAAAAGATCAATCTATACAATCTACAATCTTGGGGCATTATAATAAGTCACATTTTGTCCCCAAGGATTACATTTCTTATAATAACATTCCTTTAGTATTGTTACTTTAGATGGAGCTTTTCATACTTAGTTACAACTAAGTTTTCATACTTACAGGCCGTACAAGATTGCACATCTGCGTATTTACGTTCAACAAATATAACGCATGGAAAGATGCTTTCCCGGTAATACGAAAAAAACCGCAAGCTAGTAACATAGATAAGAAAATAATGTTTTAGTTGTCATCGAAGGAATTAAGAGTTTAAAACTGTAATGGGATAGCAATAAATCTCAAAGAACTGACGCAACAGTAGATTGATAATGGTTGGTTAATATATTTAGCAAAATTATGTTCGATAGCTCTCTTTATACATCTGCAATTTAAATGTTTTCTTTAATGCTTTTATAATGATACACACACCCATGTTCATAAATTAAGTTGCTAGATAAAAGCAAATGTTGTTCCAGAATGATAAATTTGGTTTGTCGTTATTCCGATTTGAACATTCAGATATGTTCTGGAGCCCAGTATAATTCCACCCCAAACTAGAAATTCTGCAACACCGAACGGTGTCATTCAATGATGCTCCTCTTGGTGTACATGGGTATCTGGAGTACTGGCGTTTTCCATATGAAAGTTCGACGTGAATCAGATTGCAAGCTAACCCTTGACACTTCAGGGAAACATCTCATAAGCCCACTATTACGATGTCCACATTGCATGATTTCTACTCCAGGCTAATCGCTGACGTCAGTGAGTAGCCATAAGCGAAATACATCTAACAAGCCATGCAGCAGGTATATTGGCCAATATTTCCCAAACTTGTGTACACGGTTTGCCTTGAAACTGTAGTAACCGTTGATGCAGGTAGTCATCTAATGGCTTCCTGTAATTGATCATTATTCTTGAAGATGTGTGGGATAATTCTACAGGTGAAAATTTTACTTTCGAATTCAATTTTCGAGTGATTCTGAATTATCCTTAATTTATGAACATGGGTGTAGTAATGATTCAAGAACTATTCTAGACGAGATAAGTATCAGATGTTTCACGAAAATAAAGTTTAATAGCAATCCTTAATAGTTAAATACTAAAGTTAAAATTAAAAGAGATTAAAAAAAATTAAACTAGTGTTCATTTATTTGATTAAGATTCCGTTTAAATGTTTTCATAAAATAGTTTAAAAAATCTTTAATCTGAAGAAGCATACCTTTGCTTTCAGAAAATCTTCCATAATTCCAATGTCTAATAGGCTCTGAAAAATTGCTCTTCTTGCTAAAAAAATTGGAATAAAGTACTCAATGAAATGTTAGAATCAGTAAAAATAAAGCACAAATTTTAAATGTACATAAATCACAAAACATGGTTTGTTATTAACAAATTTTACATTTTTTAATAATTATTTTCCACCCAGAACACATTTTTAAATTTCTTATCTCAATGAGAGGAGAGTTAATAACTTTTTGATTCTTTCTTCCTATCTTAGGAAATAATTTCTCTAATGAAATTTTTTTTTCTTGTCATTCATAAGACTCTTCTATTTAAAGTTAAATTCAGGCAAAAATAATATTTTAATAACTGCTTATTAAAAGCTAATAATAATTAAATATTTTTTAAATTCAAAGAGCGAAAATTCAAATTTTTCCCCCGTTGTAAACTGTGCCGTTTTAATTAAAATTTGAGAGAAATATGTCAAACAGTTTCTGGGTTATAAAAAAATAATAGATGAGTTCGAAATTATATCTTTTAAGTATTTTTTATTTTTTAAACTTTCAGATTCTACTATTTCATATTGCTGTTAGCATAGTTTCAGAAAGTAATTTAATCGGTATTAAGTAAAAAAATAATTACAGAAGCTAAAATTAAATATAAACTATCTTTTGTTCAATTAGTTTTGTTTTTTATAAAAGAGTTCAAAGATATTAATTAGCGCAACTAGTTTTAAAGTTATCTGAATATTAAAGAAAATAAAATTAACATTAAGGAGACTAGACTATCAGATTGGTATTGAGATCAAACTTAAAGTAACTTTTAATATTGAGGGTCTGAATTAACCCGAAAAGATATTTTATTCAAGTAAATTAAAGTATCATCAGTATACATTCATTGCATACATTAAGTGGGTATCTCAAACCACAGAAATCGCATCGGAGTACACTACAGCCAGATTATTAGGCCAAAAGTTTTTCTGAATGTGCAATTTTATTGGTTAGAGAGAGATAATTCAAACACGCTAATTAATGTAGGCAATAATTTAAGTGGATAATTTCTCTGAAAAAAACCCCCACTTTTCTTTCAATTCTAATCAAGAACTGTCATTAATTGAAATGATATCAGGTTCGAATCCCAGCAATGGCTGTTCGATACGAATTCTGTATCTGGCTTGAACTGACCACAGAGCTGATATAAAATATCCTCAGTGGTAGACGGATCATGGCTTAGAATCACCTTACCGTCAGGCAAAATGTGAGAAGTTTTCGTGGTTTTCCTCTCCATGTAACGCAAATGATGGTTAGTTTCATTAAAAAATCCTCCACAAAGGCAAATTCTCCTAATACTTAATGCAGGAGTGCACTTGTCTTCTGGATTGGGTTCAAAATTACAAGGCTACAGAGTTGAACATTAGTAGTCGCAAACCCCAAAAAAATTGGGTGGGCTGTTCAACGAAAGTTATAAAATAAAATTAAATTAAAATGACAGGCTCTCACTAGTTGAGTCAAAGTTTGGTCTCGATAATGTTGTTTTTATTTTTTTTGCACATTTTGTTATTTTGTAATAAACAAAGAAAACTTCACATCCATTTATAAAGGTCAGTCAAACAAAAATAATTTCATCCAAAAAAAAAATTTTTTTTCTTAATAAGTAGTTTACTACTTGAACTGAAAAGTATTATGCAAACCTCTTTTTGAAAAATAATTTTAAAAGCCAAAATGGTAAAGAAAATTACAGGTATGTTGTGCAAACTTAAAATAATAAGTTAATTTTAAACATAACATGAACTCAAAACGATGAAGATTAAAATAACTTCACGAGGTTGTTTTTATTCTCCGAGTGCCTTCTGTCTTTTAAAAAGTCTATTAAAATAATGAAAACAAAACCGCTTAACAGACGAAATTGTCTCGCTTGGCACTGAACAGAAAGGACAGCATTCATCGCCAAACCTTCCTTTTAAGGACAATTAAGTGAGTAAGAAAACCCCCACTCTAAGTAATTGAAAGCTTTTAGACAAATTTCTAAAGGCTCAATTTTCCTTATTTAATGCTTCATTCGTCTAACAAGCGAACTGAATAACAATCATGGATCCCACATTACAGGGATGAAAATAAAGTGTCGCCTAACAAGGTAGAAAGAGTAAACGTCTAGATCAATAAAAGAAAAATTAAGTCATTTTTCTCGTTACCAAGATTAGAGGTATTTTAAACCTAGTTCAGAGAATTGGTATCCAAAGAGATTTGATCTGAGCTCAGTTTTATTATCTTTGAATATCTGTAAACAAGGAATGGAATTAGAGTTAAACTGGAATAAATTTTTGCTTTAGTGTTTCATTATTTTAGGGATGTTATAATTAACTACTTTAGAAAAATGAAAATGGTTTTTCTTACATAAAATTACAGTATTACTGACGGTATACAGTTTTTGCGAGACTCTGCCAGAAAGTGCAATATTCTGTCGTTCTCTACTTTATTTACTTAAAATAAAAATTCTGACTCATTTTATAACAACAAGAAAATACATAACACTTTTTATTTAAACATAAATTGTTCTAAATATATTATTCTAAATTGTCATAAATTGTTCTAAAATATTGTTCTAAATTGTCATAAATTGTTCGAAAATATTGTTCTAAATTGTTCTAAAATATCGTCATAGTAACTAACGATACGAATTCTAGCTTACAACTTACACATACACAATTAACAAACAGAATCTACTACTTTTAACAACAGTTACTAATAATAACCATAACTATGGTTATGTTACTTATACATTAGAGAAAATATTTGTGGCATACTTATATGTAATACATGGTATATACTTATATTAGAGAAAATATGTGTGATATACGTCATATACTTATATCAATCAAAATATCAGTGGATACTTCATAGAGCTCACTTTTTGTGGTTCGAGTTCATTTTAGCCAGAGATTAGGATTCCTTCCTAGCCGACATTTAATATACATAAATGAATTAAAGTCAGTAGACACTTTAATTGTTAGTAGACTCTTTAGAGATAAGTTAGGGTTCACTTTCTGTGGCTCGAGCCTTCCGCTGTGATCGATAACACTTTGCTTTGTAGCCGAGATTGAGATTTCATATGACAGATAAAAACCAAAATTCATATCCATATGTAAGATATAACCAAATCTATAAAAACCAAAACCATATGACAGATAGGAAAAATAATGTATGTGAATGCGAATGTAACTTCAGAAGAGAAAACCTAACAATCAATTGATATTCACAAGAGACGTACCTCGACATAACCTTAAATCCGTCACATTGTTTTTACTCATTTTTTACAATTGTTTTCCACTAAATTTGAAAATAAAAAATACTACCCTATTAAATTATATGTGTATCAAAACAAACTAAAAATATCTATATATATATTTCTCTTACACGGCACCAAAAAAAAGCCTCATTACAACTCCCCGAATGGCAACGTTAGAAAATCGACCAATGATTGCTGCTAAAAATGTCACATGTCTAATGTCACATGAGGTGGCTCAACATATAGCGCTTTTAAAAACGGAAACAATAACCAGAGTGAGCATTATCAGGTTGTTCAAATCAGATTCATACCCTAAAAACATGATAATATTTAATTTAAACTCAATTAGGAATTAATTAGGCTGGCCTTATCCATGACTATAAATAAGTCACAAGGTCAGACTTTTGAGAAAATCAGTTTAGTATTGACTAAACAAGTTTTTAGTCATGGACAACTTTATGTTGGCCTGTCAAGAGTTAAGTCATTTGACAGCCTTTCAGTAATTGCTCCAAGATGCCAAATCTATAATTGTGTTTTCAAAGAAATTCTAAATGCTTAGTGTTAATTTCTTAGAGCTTTGCAGAAAAAAATGTTTTTTGGAAAAAATTTAATTGAAACTTCTATTGGCAGTAGGCAAGGGGAACTGCCAAAATCAAAACTCCCCGATTAGAAATGCAGCATGGCGACCTCCACGTGGTATTTCTCGGGTAATGCTAACAGCCATGCATTTTAATTTATTGTATGTAAAACATCCTTATTTTGTTCTAAAATGTTATGTACTTTATCACAAATGTTAATTAATATAGAAATTGATTTCAATAATGCTGATCACCAAAAAATATTTCATTTGGCGATAAAACAAATTTTTGTGTTCTTGAAAATGAAAGACTTTTTGAGGGTTATTATCTCACAAGGAAAAGTTAGGGTTTAAAGTTTATATTTTTAAATAATAAAATTTTTTTCTAAAACTTTCAGAATTTCTAGCATTAACTAATTTATTATACACATTTAGTTGAATTTAGGTGAGTAACTGCAATATTTGATAATTTATTTTGCTAATATGTTTCTCATTTAGCTAATGTTTTGATTTTTTCACCATGTACAATCTAAATAGCTAATATACTTTTTTAAAAGCCAATAAGAACATTGATAGAATTCTTCTACATAAGTACAATACTATGTCTTTGATGATAAAATACTATGTCTTTGATGATAATATACTATGTCTTTGTGCGAGAACATTGTGTTCATTGGCGAGCGAGCCATGGTTCACGGCGTGAACCCCATAGGATTGCGTAGCAATTCTCTGGGGTTGGCGAGCGTTAGCGAGCAGGGGGCAGAGCCTCCTAGTATTTATAGAAAATCACTACTTTTATGACTTTTATTATTTTTATGCTAGTGAGAACCAAAACAATATGGAAGTGAATGAGGGAAAACTGCATCCTACCACGTGATTTCCCGGCCAATAAAAATGTAGCGTTAAACGTTTAACGCAACCTTGTTGGAAGTCGCATAAGAGGTAAACTTCAAAAATACTCGTTATTATGACCTAACAAGTAAAATTGTTCCACCTGTTATTATAACTCGTTATTATTAGACGTTACTCACAAGTACTAGAAATTTATTACTTGTCACTAGTTATTATTTTTTTAGTCGCAATTTTCTTTTTAGTGAAAATATAAAGTTTTGAAATCTCTTACCAACAACCACCAAGTTTCATGTCTTCTTCTGCGTACATTTCGTACGATTTTTGTGGTCCATAAAACTTTTCTAAACTTATCATAAGTTGCCGTAAATGGGCTGTTTTGTACGGGGAAGAAACACTGAAAAAAATAGAAGTATTTAATTTGATATAATTTTAGACGTTAGCCAGATTTACAAGAAGGATCAAAAAGTTTAATTAAAATATACAATAGGATATTTTTCCCTAGTATTAAGGTATGAGAAACTGCTACAGAGTTATTTTAGTAGATAATTGTTTAAATGAACTGTTCAAAAAATATTTTTTTCACAAGACCATAAGTTTTAAATAATTTTGGTGTCGAAAATGAACCTTTCACAAATTTTTTTTTTAAAAACTGAGTCGATCGCATATTTAATTTTTAATTTTAAAAGTGCTTTTAGGGATTTTTTTAAAAGTTATGTGATTAATCACATGGTTTTTGTGTTTTTTCTTCAAATTTTTAATTTTAGATTTTTAAAAATATGAGTAGATTTTTCACAAAAGCGGATTGCAGATTTTTCTCACAATGTAGATTTTGATGAGTAGATTTTTCTCCCATTTTACAGACTACATTTGTAACAATGTGTTTTTTTCCTTCTTTAGATATATTCTTCTTCAAATGTTTTTTCTATTAAACTACTCCAAGCTTTTGCAGAATAATTTGTAAAGCTTGGAATAGTTTAGCGAAAACATGTGAAGAAGAACATATCTCTAAAGAAGGAAAAAACACATCGTTTTTTAGTTAAAATAATTTTCAAAATTTATACTTTTCTGACTTTTTAATAATTTGTTATCTTAAAATGTTGGGTTAATCAAATAAGACACATTTTGAAACTTTTTTGGGTGATAAACTTAAGAGCATGATGTATTACAATGATGAACTACATTTTTCCTTGAATTTTTACGTCAAACAGTATCTTAGCATTGTTTCCAAATTGTTTTTTTACAATTTTCTTTAATTCTCACTAGATAACAGTATAATATATAGAAATATCAAACTGCCTACATTTAACCCGTAATTCTTTTCTTACAAAAACGCTTTCTTACAAAATTTGAAAATGTAGTTTAACATAGGAGACAATAAATTTTATGACTTTATCAACACCATTAATGCAAAGACAGTAATTTTAGCAATATTTTAAGCCAGTGATAGAGGAAAATAAGATTGCATTTACATTAGTTAATAATGGTAATTGTTTGAAACTAAAATAAATTATGAAGATAACTAACTAAGTTCCTATGCGAAGTTGCATTAATGTGCTCTTTATTAGTATTAATATTTTGTTAAGACGTATAAAACAATAGTAAATTATAAGGCATGCTAAGTTTCATTAATGCGGTCGATTAAAATCATTGCTAGGTTTCAGTATTTTTTTAAAAATGATGTAAGAAAAAAACTTACTTTTCACTATTTGATAAAACTCTCATCTCATCATTCAAACTTTTTTGAATCTCATCTATAACTGGTCCATACAAATCCCCTTGGACGGATGGATAGAGCTAAATGCAGACAAAATAGATATGGTTTAAAATAAAGTAAAAATTTCTGAGGTAAAAAACTGTGATTTTAACATAATTATATTAAAAAAAAAAGTTTCTGCTGTAATATAAGAACAGTTATAGAATTTGTCCGTTTTAAATTCCAGACGATTTTTTTTCCAGCATGGTTTAAAATTTAAATAAAACGAAAAAATGCTCTTAACTATATTCAACTATTTTGAAAAAGAAAGATATTGACATTTTTAAATATATTATTCTTTCTTATAACACTTTTTTTTTTATTTTGTTAAGAAATTTAGGTGACTTGGAACAGAAACTAAAAAATAAATAAATATCATCTGTTTAATTTTGAACATCACGTAAACATTACTGAAATCTAATTAGCGGTCTTTAATTTTTTTTTTATTCGTGTACTTTCTAGAATATTTTTACTTACTGAAAAACCTCTTATCGTCTCAAACTAATTAACCGTTTAAAGAAAAATAGAGTTTCTGTTCAAGGAAAAAAAATATTTATCCTTATAAAATATAAGAATTTTAATTTTTTTATTGAAAGATATTTAATTTCAAACGATTATAAGGAGCTGTGTAGTTTCAACTACAAATTTGTTTCTTGTTTGCAAACGATTTTTTTTAAAATTATATATTTTTTTGTCATTAGCTTAATTTGGAGATTAAAAAGCATGTTGAAAGAGGAGTCTCTTGTAGGGTAATTAGTACTTTAATACACATAAAAAATAAAAATTTATAAAAGAAGTTATTGCATATTATGGATATAAAGAAATAAAATGTTTACCTCATTAATAAAAAAGTTTTGATAATTAATTTTACTTTATTAATTGACTTTATTTCGAAAATATTTATAATTGGTTATTATCATATAAAAAGTAATATATGAAAGCGTAGGAAGATTTTATATTAAATATTTACTGAGTCAGTTTAAAAATGAAAAGTGTTGACAACGAAGTGTTTATTTTAGATCTCATGAGATCGTTCTTATTTTCTAACAAAATAAATAAAAATATATAAGTCCATTAGTAGTATTTTCCTTAAATCGACAATATGTATATTTTTTATTTATATCTTAACTATATTCATACAATATTTTGTTACATTTGATACATTTGTAAAAAAAAGACTCATAAATGTGTTTTTTCAGCATTTATTAAAACACACATTTCGTTTTAAATAACATAAAATATCTAAATTGGTAGCTAGTTTCTATGAAGTACAGTGCGTAAAAAAATAAACGGTCAACCCTGAACAACTTTTAATTTACTCATCGGATTTTTATGTTCTAGAACTCAATATTTTGAGGGGACTCAATATATGTTCTAGAACTCAATATTATCTGCTCAAATATGCAAATTAATTAGAGCAGACGATATTTTTAGTTTCGAAATCAGACACAAACAGTACTTTCTATGAATAAACATACCTTTTTTTCGACGGATCCAGTATTTTGATCCTCTAAATATAGGGGGTAGCCGCAATGTGGGAAATATGGTCCCAATAGTTTGGTCAGTAGATCGGACAAAGGTTTGGACCACTTAATTATGATTTTACTTCTCGCGTGTTTTGCCTATCTCGAGAACTTTTTAAGCATGCGAATTAAAAAATCGAATTTTAAGTAAATCACTTTTTTAAAATTTGATTTCTTAGGAATTTTTCGATCGACTTCATCTAAATTTTTTATTTTTCATGTAAAATTACATTCTTTAAAATCATGTAAAAATTTTATACCTTAACGCTCAAAATTCTTTCGACCAGTATTAAATAAAATAATAAAAAATAATAAATATTTGCCTAACATTTTTTTTCTTGTTGCGTGAAATTATCTTTAGACAAATAAATTTTATAACTGCGTGCAAAAATGCTTCAATTCGCTTATAAAGTTCTCGAGATATGGCGAAATATGCAAAACGTGAAGTTAACATTAAGGGATCAAATTTTGGTTCGCTCTCCTGACCAAACTATTCGGACCATATTTCCCAGATTGCGCCAACCCCTATATTATTTTGGTAATCAGAAATCTGAGTCGAACAAAAAAATAAATAAATAAAAAGAAGAAAAAAAAAGGTATGTTTATTCAGAAAAAGTTCATTTTTGTGACTAATTTCATAACTTAAAATATCGTCTGCCCTAATTAATTCGAATATTTGAGGCCCATCCTTCCAACATAAAGATAGAGCCCTAGAAGGAGGTATAGATCAAAAGTTATTCAGGGTGGTCTGTTTATTTAGCAGTGTACATCCCCTTAACTTTCATTTAAAGCGTTTACGTCATGACATAATATTTTAATAGAAAATATTTCTATATATTACAATTATATTATATGATTAGGCTTAGCAGTTACAATCCTGGAAGCGAAGTGAATTTTCCAAATTCCCTCAAATTTTTCAAAATGTCGCTTAGAACTTTTGCTCATTTAGTTTTTCAACTACAGCCGGAATTGCCAATCACGTAATTAAATCGTTCCCTATTTTATGTTGGTAAGAATTCGGATTGAAAAGTGATGAAAATCAAAACTTCCTCTTTAATTTTATCATGGTTAAATCCAAGTCAATTGAAAAAAGTTTTCTAATTGTGTTTTTTTCTTTTTTTCTTGAATAAATGATACTGAATGATCTAAAAAGGAAACTTAAAAATAATAGCAAAATCATGCCTCATATATTCAATTAAGGGGATGATAGGGAACACCATTTTTTAACAAATTGAGGCAATAAAAAATGAGAAGTGTGTTTAAATAAGAACTGTTGGTTTGTTAATTTACCTTGAAGCTTTTAGATCATTTTGATTAATTATTTTATTTGATCCTAATTTTGAAAATGCTTCCTGAACATGCTTAGATATTCAACATAATGAAGTATGATTTATGAACTTCTTAATTAATTAAATGGTTTTTAGAGAGCAAATTTTTACAAAAAAAATTGCTTATTACATTAACTGTGATTAACTATTCCTTGATACTGGTTGAAAGGTATACACTATAAAATGCGTGTAAGGAACTTGCATCAATTAATAGTAGACAAATTTGAATTTTCTTTTCAAGGCAAGATTTTGCTGGTCTTTTTTATCACATAATTAATCATCCAAAGTAAAATCGATTTTTTAATTTTTTTTGATAGTATACAAGAAACTGTATAAAGAAATGCCTATGCCTCTCTTTCAATTGCGCTTACTTTAACTGTCTATGTTTTTAATGCTTTAATGAAATAAATTGCAGTAAATTTTGCTTGTTTCTGATATTATAAAAATACCTGCATTCAAAAAATGCAATAGAGTGTCTTTCTTCTAACTCTAAATTAATGAAATAAAATTAAGTCACATGTCTTTATTGATATTATACAAACACCCGCATTAATATCGGGATAGCCTGGTTGTTAGGGCCCATGTCCAAGAGTTCGTGGGTTTGATCCCCGCCGGCCGAAGACTACCAGCGTAGTAAATGGTGACTGATGGTGTCTTGAGGTATTAATCCACTTTTAGATGCACCTGGATTTCAGCCCCATCTCTATAAGAAGCTGCAGCCAAGATGGAGGAGATAATGATATAGGGAGTTAAAGAGGGCTGGTGACCTTAGGGTTGCACACCCCTTCGTTTTGGCGTCCGTAGGGGTGACGTACCAGCAATTAAGTGCATTATATATATATATATATATATANTCGGCATTAATTACATATATATATATATATATATATATATATAACCCGCATTATATATAACCGCATTAAGAAAATGCCTTACCCTACTTTCCTCTATCTCTAAACAAAATAAATATAAAATTAAGTTAAATGTCTTTATTTTTGATAATAATATAAATATCAGCATTAAAAAATGTATTTGCCAGTCTTTCTTCTATTTCTAAATTAATTGATAAAATGAAGTCAAATGCTTGTATTTTCGATATTATATAAATATCCACCTTAGGAAAATGCATTTGCCCGTCCTTCTTCCATCTCTATGATAACTAACTTTTAGTTAGTTATTAAAAATTAAGTCATATGTCGTTATTTTGTGTATTTTATAAATACCTGAATTAAGAAAATGTCTTTGGTCATTTTTCTTCTATTTCTAAATCAATTAAAGGAAATTAAGTCTAATTTCTCAATTTTCGATGCTATATAAATAACTGTATTAAGAAAATAAGTGCCTTTGTCTTTCTCAAACTCTCACTCTTACTTTGCCTGTTTTTCTTCTACTTCTTGAATAAATCAATAAATATTAATTTAGTAGTTGATATAATACAGGAATTCATTTACAGAAATGATTTTGATATTGATTTTCTACTATTGAGAAGTAGTATTTTCGTAAACAATTTTATATATACAATAAAAAATATACTTATTAAGTGATTTCTAAACCTACATTGATGAAAGTGGTTGTTCTGTATTATAGATAATAAAACATTACTTTCAAAATAATATTCCATTGTGCATAAAAATATTTTACAAACCCATCATAATTTTAAAAAAAATATTTGTCTGCTTCTTTATTCTAGAAAATGAAATCTCGTGTACACAAAATGGGACACGAAGTACAACAAAAGAAAACGTAGGATTGCAGCCTGCTGGTTGAGTAAGATATTTTCGAAAATATCATTTAAGATAAATAGAATATTTATGTTTAAAACTATTGAATATAGTCTTCTTTGCTTACATTTGGTTTTTATTTATTATTTTTTGGCTTCCGTATATTATATTTTTATTCCATTTTTTAGAGTATATTTGATAGAAGATAATATGAATATAATTCTAAGTTTAAGATTAATTAAATCTACATAGTTTAAGACAATGAAAATTGTTTTACTTTTTTAATTTCCAAAATGTTGAATTATTATTAGTTTTTAATAAAAAAATTATTAAAATATTATTTTTTGCCCGAATTTACCTTTAAATAGAAGAGTTTATGAAGGAGTAAAAAATTTTCTTAATTGGAGAAATTAGTTTCAGAGATATGAAGAAAGAATATGAAAGTTATTAATTAGCTCTCCTATCATTGAGATAAGAAATTTAAAGACTTATTTCAGATGGAAAACAGTTATTAAAAAATAATATAAAATTCGTTATAAAAAAATCACATATTCAGTTTTATGATTAATGCTTATTTAATGTAGCATAGATAATATATAATAGGATATAATCTACAGTAAAAAATCAATAACGCAAATCAGGTTGTTTAGTTATCACCTTTTAGAATTCCTGTTAAAAAAAAATTCATATTAAGTTTCTCAAACTAATATTAAGGCGGAAAAAAAACATTACTATAGCCAGTATGATTCCCGGATTCAAACTGAAAGGTGCGGTAAGGCAATTTTTAGAAACATGTTAAAGCTGAAACCGGTAATTAAAACTGATATTGATGTTTTCTCTATAATGGTTCGTTTAATTCGGATAATTTTTTTTTCTCATTTAAAGACTAATTTTTAACTCCTGTTGTGTATATTTTTTTTTTACTTCAATTGAACTCGGATTAAAAAAGAAAAAAAACTATATAAAGGGCAATTATTGCAGAACACTTTGTATATGATTTAAGCATACCTGCCTGAATCCCCCAGAGTTTTGGGCTTCTCTTCTGGATTGCGTAAGAAAAACTAAGTCCTGGTGACTGAGACACAATTCATGGCTGACTCTACAATTGACACCCTGCAAAGAACAATAATAACGATAGTGTTTCGTACTAGTTTTGTTGCAAAAATAAAGCACAACTTTAGAGGTAATACAAGAAAATCACAACAGTTTGGATGGAATCGAAATAAATGGAGCTTCTTTTAAAACGAATTCATGCACAGCCACATTCAAAGTTTCATTAGTATTTTCAGCTACATAATTTAGATATTTTTTAACATTTGTACTGAACTAATTATATACTAATTAGATTCATACTAATCAGAAAATTGGCAGTGGAACAATTTGAAATTGAAAAGGAAAAAAAACGAGTTTAACATTAGATTGCCCAAGGAAGTAATTTCGACTGCTTTTTAATTTCAATTAGAAAAACAATGATGTATATAATGACGCAATTTCTTACAATTTTGTGACTTTTATACTTATTTGTATTGTTGTTATTTACTCATAACTTGTTATATAACTGAAAATAATATCAAAAATATTAAAACTAATATTAAAAATATACATTAGTTACTCTTTCACAATGCAGTTATTTTGACTGCTTTTGAGCAATATAGGTATTTCAGTCTTTCTTGTGTTAATGATTCTAACTCAATTCATTAACGCTAAATGTCCCCTAATAATTTGTGAGGGTCAACTTTAATAATTTGTAAGAGAAAATGGCTCTTTTACAATATCGTAGAATTTTTAATTTGTGCCACAAGAGTTATAATAAATTTAATTCAAACTAATGTTTTATTTTTAAATGAATTAGTTTCAAACGTCTAAGACAAGTGTTACGAAAATTAGATGTTGGTAGAAGTTTTTCGCATGGTGCACGTAGTACTTGATATCGTGATTAAACTTCCCAAAAGCGTATTTCATCGGTGCAAATATCGAACGTTTCCAAATAGTTACTGATAAAACATAAAAAAAAAAGCTATGTTCAAATGCACTAGATTAGGTACACTGAATTTTAATTAATTGAATATGAATTGAATTGCACAGAAATAAAAAAGACGCTTTATAGCAGTTTATCGATGCCTTCATGATTTAAGAACATTTCTAAAATCAAAATTAATTAAAAGATGGGCAAAAACAATGCTATATAAAACTATCAATTAGACCTGTCTTAACTTATGAATCTGAAACATGGTCTTCAACATGGTCTTTAAATCATAAGCAGACCTGCTTACTGGTTTTGAGAGAAAAGCTTTGAGAAACAAATTCGGTGATATAGTTGTGGATGGCATATGGAGACAACGACACAATTTTGAACTATATAAGCTACTCAAGGAAGCCGTTATCAACAAATGCATAAAAATAAGTCGCTTAAAGCTTACGGGTCATTTCTGTCGAATGTACCCTTCTTCCTTGACATTTAAGATCTTCAAATTCTCAACGGGAACTAGAGTTAAAGGTAGGCCTAAGATTAGATGGCTTGACTGCGTGGAAGAGAACTTTAAAATCCTAAGAATTGCTAACTGGAGAACGATCTAGAACGAAAGGAGCAGAATAGAGAAAGATTCTAGGGAAGGCTCTGGCCCACTAAGGGTTGTCATGTCAATCGAAGAAGAATATGAATATACTTTTTACCATATTAAGTTCCAACTTGGCGCTATATTAAAAGGGCAATAAAGTTAAACTATATCATATTTTAGCGCATTCCAAAATTTACGACAGACCATCTATTTTACTGCAAATTAACGATAAATTGAATTAAATCCATCCGTCAATAACTAGCATTTTATACTTTACAATTTTTTTAGAATATGAAAGGTCTTAAAGTCAACCCCCAGTTGCATTCAAGTTTTGATTTTAAACTGTTTTGAATGATAAATTTGAAAAGGAAAAACCCTTTGAAAGTATATTAAAGAATTAACATTATACATATTTTTTAATAAGCCAATAAGTTTCAGAGTATTAAAATACTTTTTCAAAAAATAATTTAGAAAGTGGTTTCATGCTTTTGAAAATGATTCAGTTTCTGTAAAAAACCGAAAAAGGGTAAAAAAGAAAACAAAAAAAAAACATGTCTTTTCAAATGAAAGAACAAAAATACTATACTCTATTAAAAATTATTTGGAATGTGTCCAAGTTGATAACATTAAAATTTTTTTTATTTTTAATGAACGATAGTTCAACCGCTTTTTCAAATGGTACAAATATATGAGTTAGTTTCGAATATATTAATTTAAGAAAACATATTTTGGTTTCATTATATTATATTGATGTTAATTGATTTCTGGTATATTTGTAGTATTTACTTTTTATTTTACAATTTTTGTAAATTCTTTTGGCAGTTTATAATAAAACTTTTGGTGGTTGGATAATTTCGGTTTATTAAAAGCAATAAAATTCTGAAAAGAGAGTGCTAAAATTTGAGAAGAAAATTTTTGTAAGTACACAATACAATTGATCCTTGGCATCATTTTAGTAAATTACGATGCGTGCCAAGAAAATTGGAAGAAAGTGCCAAATTGGAAAAGATTGAAAAGGTTTTAAAGATGTTTTTCAGTTTACAAAAAAAAATTATCTATTCATCTTTTAAACAATTATTCCTCGTCTAAACAACTATAAAAAAACTTGTGTCTAAGAATAAACTTTTAAATTTTGGATAAAAAGCGTCTAACATATTTTATTCTAATTCAAAATTTTAAATGAACTCGGTAAAATAAGCGTCTTTTTGATAATTTATTTTAGCTGGAAAAATATTTCAGAAATCAATAAGCACATATTTTTCGTTAAAAGCACTATTATATTTATAATGTTAGATATAAGTTTTACTATCTGTAGATATAGAACCTTTAACTCGCTACATTTCAAAAGGAATTGATTACAAAAAAATGTGTACTTCGAAAAGTTTTGATTAAAATGACACTCAAATAGGCACTAAATTTTTACTGAATTTTCCAAATTTTTACCCTTTACTAACTAATGAATATGAATAAATCTTATTTTTGACTGGTGCCCACATATTGGTATAAAATAGAGTGTAAAAAGAAACCCATATTTTAAAGGTAAGGAACCTTTAACCTAAGTAGAGTAAAGGTTCTAGTGATTCATTATCAGTATTTTGTTATGAATAGATATTAAACACGAGAAGAAAATTTAAAAAAAAAAATGTACTAAAATATGCAAACTTGCTTTTTATAAATCAAACAAATTTGTGTAATCTTTTGAGTCATTTATACTATTTTTCGTGATTTCCACAACTATTTTTTTTAAAAACATTTATGCGTAATGGAAAAATAAACATGGTAAAATTTAAATGAGGTAGCATAATCTGAAGATTAATTGAATTTTGAAACGTAACAGTAATAAGCTCTGTAAATTAACCGGGAATTAAATTTTTCCTCTTATAAAGAAAATCCCTATTTAGACTTAAATCATTTTCCTGTTTTTATATTTTCATTTAACAGTAAATAAGCATTTAAAAAAACACACAATAATTGTTAACAGAAGCACAAAACTTGTCTTTCCATAAGTTACTCATTACTATTTAAGAAGCTAAATACAGCAAATATTAATTTCATTTTTTGGTAGCTGTCAACTGATCTTTTATCGCAAAGCTTTCCCACTCATTACTCCTCGTATTTATTCTTTTTGACTGAAGGAGTCAGAAGTCCCTTCATTAGTTAATTACAAACTTAAATGAGCAAAAGTTTCATTATTTCTCTTTCTAATTAATGAGGAGAGTTTCAGGTTAGATTACATTTTGTAGTCATGAGTCCCCCCCCCTCTTTTCCTTGAAAGATTTGCGACTTTACCCGTCATCTAGAAATGAAATGGGAGTTCTTATCATAATGGATTTTGAAGTTTTCAGTTTCAGCCATTCATTAAGTGGAGCACTGATTAAATTGCTTCCTCATATCGCAATTTGTCATGGAGAAATGAAAAATTAGTTTCACGATAAAAAAAAATATATGCATGAAAATAAAACTTATGTTGAGTATACGTTATTCATGAGATAGAAAAGGTAAAGTGAAATAAGATATATTTAGTAACAAGCAAACTCAAAATATTTTTGTCTGAGTTGTCAGAACATAACGTTTAGTTGTTATTAATTAACTGAGTCAAAAGACATGCTAAAAGCATTTTTTTTAAGAACATGTTACATGGATTTTTACTCGATGACATAAGTGAAAAAACGTGTTAAACGGGGTTTTAATTGATAATGTAAGTGATGACATAAGTAAAACATATTAAGTGGGGTCTCAATTGATTACATATGTAGAAGAACATTTTAAGTGGTTAAGGCGTTTAATTGATGTTTAAAGATCATGTTAAGTGGGTTTTTAATTGATTAGATAAGTAACATTTAATAGAAGAAATTTTTTTTTCGAATGGCAGGCACTGAACTTTATTCGTTTCACCTTAGAAGATGCCAGAGTTGCTACTCATTTCGCGTTACCCAGTAGTGGGCACCTGTGAACCAAAGTCACGGAGGCGAGTAACATTGCTCACGCCACACTGCCACAAACCCGATCATAGAGTGGGCCACATTCACTCATCACACACAACAGAGGACAACACAAAAGAGAGAAACATCCATGCCCAGAGCGGGATTCGAACCCGCGGCCATTGGCTTCGCAGTCAGGCGCGTTAACCACTCGGCCACCTGGCCGGCCCAATAGAAGAATATAATAAGCGGGTTTCTAACTGACGACATATATAGAAGAAGATGCTAAACGGAGTTATTTTCAATGATATAAGTAAAATAACATGATAAGGGAGTTTTTAGTTCATAACATAAATAAAAGAACATTTTAAGTCAATACATTTGATTGATGTTGAAAGATAATGGATTTGGTGGGATTTTAGGATTCATGGTAAATCACTCTAAGTGGATTTTTAATTGATAAGTAGAAGAACATGTTAAGTAGCTTTTTCAAATATTTGAATTTTCAGGACTGATTAAAATGACCCTGCGGTTGCCTGCAAGTACGTAGGTGTATATTGATTGTGCATATTAAATCATTAATTTTAATGGTAAAAGATATTTTTATATAGAGATTTCAAGAAGTTACTCTATTTTCAAAAGACACTTTTTGCGTATTCATTGAAATTGTGCTTTGTTATTTCATTAAAGTTATCTGTAGCAAACAAAGTTTCAGTAATTAAAGTTAATTTTTTATGCTAAAAGAAAACAAATTACAAAATGTAAAAGGAAGCTGTTTATGACACGATATGGTTAAAAGTTTTAAACGATTTTTAGTGCAGTGGAAAATAAATTATCTTTGTCTTTACTCGTCACCTAGTAAGGAAATGGCAGTCCATAATATATTCGAGAGTTTTCCATTTCAGCCTTTAACTAAGTTAAATAGAATTTTGATTGGTATTTCAAAAGTATTCTTTTTCCCAGGTTTAAAAGCATGATGAGATTTGCTGAGAACACATTGGAAATTTTAATATCGTGATAGATTGACAAAAATATTAATATTTTACGATATATTATTATATTTATCTAAATATTTTTCAATCAACCTAGACACTAGTATATTAGACAATGCTAGACAATAATACCAAATTAAAAAAAAGGAATTTTAAATTAGAAAATAATCAATGTAAAAAAAAAAAGAATTTTATAATAGAAAGTAATCAATGTAAAAATATTGATTTATAATATTGATTGCATTTAATTTGTTTCCAATTGCCATTTTAACTTCATACAGTGAATTTATGAGAGAATGAAAATCATAGGGTAATAATTATTAAATAATATTTCTAATTTTACGTCATTTACGCCTGGAAGTAAAATCTTCCTAGATTTGTAGTTTTATCCTAATTTTTAAAGTTTTACTTTGATGACATATAGATAGCTATGCTAGTATGACATTATTGATAGTATGACATGCTACGTTTTTAAATTTTTATTCTTCGCGATAACTTTAAAAAGATTTCTTTAAAAAATTTTCTCTCATAATTCATTAATTTAAAATAATGTCAAATTTCTTTAAATCTGAGTGACACATATGATTTACTTTGCTTTTGAGTGCAATATTAATCAGTGAATTTAGCAGAAGCAATGGTATATTCTGAAAAGGCAATGATACATTTAAAATTTGACGCATTCCGGATACTTTTAAATATATGACAAGTATTCTTTAAATACATAAGGACCTTTGATTGGATATTTAATTATTTCATTTAAGTTTAAACTTTGAAAAAAATGTTATAATCGCATACTCCCAGCACAGTATTTATGAAATACAATGAGACTATAGAAGCAAAAATAATCAAATTAATTAAAAACTATTAGAAACTCACCAATATTCCTATGCTGTTATCGGCGACGTGTGAGAGAGCCTTGGCAACCTCTTTGGCGACGGAGGTAGAGGAGAGCAATAGAGTAACTGTATCGTCAACTACGGCCCCTTTGACACTATTGATGAAGAGATCCTCATCCCTGCTCGACTCCTGGACACTCGGCTGGCCATTCACTTCAAGAATCGATGCCCGCAAGCTACTATTTAACATTACATCGATTCCCAGCAGTTGAAAACAGTGCTCGCATCTATTGGAAAAGAAATAATGCTTTGTTGCATAATGCATATAAATACAAGTAGTCGTTGTCATATTTTGCATAATTTTTTTTTCTTGGCATTTAAGTTGTAAAATATTTTGTATCCAAAACTTACAGACGGAAAATTTAGAATAAATTGTTATAAAATTAAAGGAATTAAAATTTTATTATACGCGTGCATTTCTATTCCGCATGCTATTTATCATTGCGCATTAATTCTCAGCTGTTGAAAACAGTGCTCGCATCTATTGAAAAAGAAATAATGCTTTGTTGCAGAATGCATATTCTTTTCTTGGCATTTGAGTTGTAAAACATTTTGTATCCAAAACTTACAGACAGAAAATTTAGAATAAATTGCTATAATATTAAAGGAAATAAAATTTAATATTATACGCGAGCATTTCAATTCCGCATGCTACTATTTATCATGGAGCATCGATTCCCTGTAGTTGAAAACAGTGCTCGCATCTATACGAAAAGAAAATCGAATGCTTTGTTGCACAATGCATATAAATACAAGTAGTTTTTGCCATATTTTGCATATTTTTTCCTGACATTTATACTGTAAAATATTTTGCATCCGAAATTTAGTGAAATCCTAGTAATAAATCTGTGAAAATGTGATAATCTGTGATATTTGATACAAATCTGTGTGAATAGTTCGTGCTGTAATAATTTAAAAATGCTTATATATAGATTATATTTAGATATATTCATACTTAGATTGTTGTAGTTTGAGCAAGTTTAAAATTTTGCAATTTTAAATTAAATTGCCTTTTTTTCAGTCTGTAAATATTTAATATGCTATTTCTATTCTTGATAATTATTATTTTAAATAATGAATTAATTTCGTCATATTATGCTTGTTATTAAATTAGGTTCACATGTATTTCGCCAAAAACTATCTTTGGGTAAACAAGTAATACAGGAACTTTTTTTGTTTTAAAATAATTTTGGGTGAATCATAACTGAATTTTTATGATGTTTTTTATGATTCAATATAAATTATTTTTATGATTAAAAGCAAACGTTCAAATACGATAATGATGTTCCTCTAAGTGAAGTTTTCAAAGATAATCGTTATTAATCCATTCTTTTAAAATAATGAAATGTTAAACGGTATCATTTAGGTAGTATCATTAGTTCAATACTTCAATGCTAAGTTATGTATTTTTCAAGGACGATTTGTATATTAATATTAAATATCATAAAATCAAATGGAACACTAATTGATAACTGTAAATACTAGTTCTTTTTCATCGAAGTCTGGAATGAAGTTATTTTCCCCATCAAATCTTTAATTCTTCACAATCTGTTGTATTATCTGTTAAGTGATCTATGTAAATTTAATTTTAGAAAATAAGTATTCGCAGCTTTGCTGTTTTATAATATGGTGAACAAAGTGATACGGTACTACAGACAACTCGTATTAGCTATGCAACAACACTAAATTGGTACTTAGAACGGAAATTCGGATTTTTTGCTAACTTTTATTTTCTCTGGTGTTTTTACCTTATTAAGTTTATAAAAACACGGCTTATAAAGGTAATCATCATTAAATGTGTTTTTTAATTTTTTTTGCCCTGCCACAAATTACCCTATTAAATTGGCATTTAGTCAGCAACTTAATTTTTTGCTAATAGTTTTTCTTCCCTCTGCTTTTATATTATTTAATTTATAAAAACATAGTTTAAAAGAAAAATTATCTCTAAAGCTTCAATTAATTCTTTCAACCCAGTTAAAAAACATCTTGGTAAATTAGTACTTAGTCTATAGACACCGAAGAGTCATTACATTATGACCATCCTCCATCTATAACAATGGGCTCGCCCAGGTTTTCATGGTTTCTCGCCCAGGAACAATGTTTTCGTGAGGCACATTAGGACCCATAATCCTCATAGAACAATCCCTGACGTCTGTAAGCTACTTGAACATAGTTGCAGACCAGGTTCATCCATTCATGGCAAAAGTTTTTCCTGCGGAGGATGGTGTTGACCAACAGGATAATGCACCATGCCATAAGGGTCGAATCGTCATGGATTGGTTCGAGGAACATTCTGGTGACTTTCAGGTCATGTCCTGGCCCCCAAATTCACCTGACCTTAATCCAATAGAGCATTTGTGGTCCTACTTGGAAAACCAAATTCGTGCTGCCACGCTACCCCCTCGCAATGTGAGGGAATTGCAGAACCAGTTGGTGAGCGCTTGGTTCCAGATACCTCAGACTACCTATCAGCACCTTGTGGAATCAATGCCACGGCAGGTGCTGGCAGTTTTGAGGGCAAAAGGTGGTCCTACATGTTATTAGCAGGGTGGTCATAATTTAATGGCTCTTCGGTGTATATATGTTTACAAAACTCACTTATTGGCCATTGTTGTAAATGAAATTAATTTGAATTGGCACTTAATACTACTTCATTAATTTTATTATTGATACTTTCCCGGTGACTTTGCCTAATAAGATTTATCCTAACACGTTTTAAAAATTCGCATAAGAAATGTGGCTTTCAAAAATTAATTTCACAATACTAATTCGTAACAATCATTATTTACCTCAATCGTTGCTGTAATGATGTCTGTTTAAAACTATTAGCCTCTATATGAGCTGATCTTTATGTTGTATTTTTCCCTGAAAATATTCTGAAATTTGTATGCTGTTATGTGTAATTCGATTCCTGTGAAAAAATTTTGTTTTTCACACATTTAATTTGAATGGTTTGTAGTAGAATATTTTGATGTAAATAGCGACTTTGCTCCTGCTTCAAGTGCAAGCAGTATGCCAAATTTCATTGCAGTCAGATGAAATGCGAGATTATCCAGAGCAAACAAGCAGGTTTTCATTAATTTATATATATTTGACCCCTGAAGTAGTTAACCTAGCATTATCTAGTTAATCAGCAGCTTAAATAGAGAAATAAGTCAATGTGCGTAATACGGAAAACAAGCAGGCATTTATTAATTCTCATATATTTGACACCTAAAGTAGTTAATATGCAAATTATCTAGCCAATCAGCAGATTAACTAAGGCAATTGTGCTTAAATAAGTGTTTTCCGGTAATATGTGGTACCTAGGTAATGTGCACCTTAAAGGTTTCCGTAATGTTCAAAACTTTGTTTCTTCAATTCCATGAACTAACTTTTTTTTAAATTTGTATTTATTAACTTGATTTTTTTGGTACTGAAAAATAAATAAATGACATTGATTTCGTTTTTTAATCATAATAATATTTTAAGCAGATTGATTCTTTGTATTATAGTTTTTAAAATGACTGATTGATTCTATTAACTAATGAGTTAATTTTTTGATTGTGGTAAAATTGTTTTTTTTTTTTTTATAGCGACAAATAAATAAATAACATTGGGTTAATTTAAGAGTACAGAAACATTGATGTTTTTCCAGCAAAAATATTATTTTTACTTGAATGCAATGTGCAGATTTCCTAGGTAGTTTTTAAGTTACCGAGATATTTTAAGAAATTATTCTTGCACCTCAACGGATCACCCTAAATAATCTGCAGAATAACTGATTTCTATACCATAACGAGAATATATGTAAACAGAAAAACCTACAAAACGTAGAAACAAAAAACTTTTTTTGGTTAAATCAAAATATCATGTTTTGTGGAGTTGGGAAAATAATAACCCATTGATTAACTCAGTTTTTCTTGTTAAAAATGTATGCTTTCTGCTAGAAATCCAATCAAGCTAAGTCCACAACTCAGCAGTCTTGTCCTTCCACGCCAATAAAAACAAAAACATCACGAGGGAGGGGGGCATTCTTTATTTAACGGTGGAAAAAAAATTATTCTGTCATCCGGAGAAATCAGCTTAGTCAATGAGGATTCATCTACTCTTGTTAACCTTGCTGACCGAAGAAGTCTCTTCCACAGAAATAACACGGAACTAGGATATGTTCTTCCGATCAAGCGGAATATCTGATGCAGCAGGGTTACTTTTGAAAAGCGATGACGCCAAATATCGCCAAATGTTTTCCTAGGAGGGAAGGAGATTAATATGGAGTGGATGGTCGGAAAGGGGAGACAAGTTTGGAGTATCCACTTCAAAGATTACTGTCAATTAATCGGTGGGCCAGTAAGGTTGAGATTTGCGTAAAGGAACCATTGCGTTTTTCGTAAGGTTAATGAAGATAGAAATTACAATAAATTCAAATTAGCATTAATATTATTAAGAGCTATAATATAAAAATTCAAAACTTTACATTTTAAATGCTGAACATATACGCGTTGAAAATATAGATATTATTTATATAAAGTGCTAAGTATGTAATGCTGATAAGATATCAGTAAATTAAAAGCGTTTTAAAATGAACACATTAAAAATAATAACACATTAAAAATATATTCATTAAAATTAAATTGCAATTCTTTATTTAAAATTGTGAAATTATTTTCTAAAAATTAATTATTTGATCTGCATAAATTATTTTAGCAAGTAGTGAAAAATTTGTTTATGAATAATATCATTTACTTTAATTATTTCTTTGTGAACAGCTTTAAATTAAAATAATTAAACAGAAAACTTTTAAAAGACAGAAGTATTTATCTTTTAAAAATTTGTTATTTCACGTGCAAAATAATAAAGCTTCTTTTTTATTAAAGAAAACAACAAAATAGTTAGATTTGTCTGAAAAATAAAGTGTTGTGTGTATTTCTCTACCTTACCTTCAAAAAAAAAAAATTTTTTTTTTCTCTGGAATTTTGCACCTCATGTAAAGTTTCTCAAAAACTCTTTGCTTTGGTTGAAATTAATTCAAAATCCTTATTAATAGAAAGGGACTAGTACTTATTCTCAAATTTCCTCCGTACTTTTCCTCTTCTATTGTATTTTGTTTCCCGAAATTATTGTTTTTCCCCTTTTACCTCAAGACAAATTAATGTTTCACGTCTAATCACAAATCTCTTTCCAATTTAATTAACAGAAAGAATTGTACTTTTAAGATTTTAGGATAAAGATAGAATATTGGCAGATT